GAGGGCGCCAAAGCCGGAGGTGCCCAGGGAGTGGCCTTGGGACCCAGGAGATTGGGGCGCCGGCAGGAGGGGGGGTCGTCTCCAAACTTGGATGTGTCCAAGGGAAATCGGGGCAGTTCTCAGGACCCAGGAGATGGGGGAAGAAAGTCTCAGGACCGGTCTCAGGACCCAGGGCTCCGCTAGCCCCGTGGGAACCTCCCCACCCCGCCTGCCTGGGGCTCAGCTGTCTCCGAAACACGAGCCCCAAGCCGGCGTGTTGCTGTGGGGCACAGAGCCAGGGTCTAGAGGGAGAGACGAGTCGCTCCTGGTCACGGTCTCAGGTACCCCCCCGGTCTCGGCTGTCCCCGGAGGGGGTGCTGCTGTCCCAGCTGAGGCCTGGTCTCTCGAGGCATCGGGGGGGGGGGGGTTGGGCCTCTCCACACCGCTGGCTCTTGGCAAAGGGGGCCGAAGGGCTCGGCAGCCCAGCGGGGGGGCGTCTCAGGGCGCTGCGGGCAGGAGAGAAGAGACGTGAGAAAGAAAATCAAGAACTGCATATTGGACACCTCAGCCCGGACTCCTGGGTTCTCTCCTCTGCTCTGGGAGGGGAGGGGGGGGTCTAGTGAGTAGAGGATGGGGGGGGGGCCTGGGAGCCAGGATGCCTGGGTTCTCTCCCCAGCTGTGGGGGCTGGTGGGTTGGAGCGGGGGACCCCCGGGGGAGGGAGGGGGTCAGTCCTAGCCTAGCAGTGGGGGAGGGGTGTTTTTGATTCTTACTCAAACCCCTTTTCCCCGGGCCCAGCCCCTCCCCCCATTGCAGGGGACAAAACTGCTCCATGTAGGATGGGGGGGGTGTCAGGAGGGGCCACCCGACTCAGGGACACCCCAGCCCTGGGGTGGGTATGGGGCCAGTGCGGGGGGCACATGCAGGGGGTGGGGGGCAGGTCTGGGGGGGGCAGCTACCAGAGGTGCTGGAACTAGGGGGGCTGGGGGGGCTGCCGTACCCCCCCCGCTGTAGGTGGTTTCCATCCTATCCAGGGTTTGCAGCTCGGCTCTCAGCCCCCCCCCCCCCGCACTGTCCCAGTGCCCCTGGCAGACGCGGGGGGAGAACAGGGGGACAGATCCGGGGGTCGGGGGGGGGGCGGATCCGCTAAGGGGGACAGATCCGGGGGCTCGGGGGGGGGGGCGGATCCGCTAAGGGGGCAGATCCGGGGGCTCGGGGGGACGGATCTGGGGGGGCCGATCCGGGGGCTGGGGGGGGCGGATCCGGGGGGGCAGATCCGGGGGCTCGGGGGGAGCGGATGCGGGGGGGGCAGCTCTCACCTCTCCCCGGCGGCCGCGGGTGGCGATCCGGGCTCGGGGCTGGGGGGGTCCCTGCCCCGCCCCCCCCCAGGCGCATCGCTCCGCGGGCTCCGGCCGGGTGCGGGTGAAGCGGGTCCCGCCTGCATCAGGCGGCGGGGGGGGGGGATGTACCGGCTTTTATAGCGCAGCGGCGGCTGCCGGGTGGGGGAAAGGAGGGGGAGGGGGAGGGAGGGATCTGTGGGGGGGAGATAGATCCATAGGGGATGGGGAAAAGAGATGGGTCTATGGGGGGGAGAGTTGGATCATGGGGTGGGGGAGGGATCTATAGCCGGTGGGGAGGAGGGATCTATAGGCGGTGGGGGAGGGAGGGATCTATGGGGTGGGGATGGATCTATGGGGGTGGGGGAGGGAGGGATCTATAGGGGGTGGGGGAGGGATCTATCGGGGGGATTGTGGGGGGCAGAAGGGGAAGGGGGGAGCCGGGGGATTGAAGGGGCAGAGATGAGGTTGGAGGAGGGGCACCACCAGGGCGGGGATAGGGGGGTCCAGATGACCCAGAGCAGAGGGAGCATTTGGGGGACTGAGCCCTGGAGGGGGGTGGAGTCATCGGATCCCTCCCCCACAACAACTCCAGGCAGCTGAGGAGCGGTCCACAGACTCAGAGCCAGGGAGAGAACCCAGGAGTTCTGGCTCCCAGCCCCCGTCCACACCTGACATAGCTGGGGGTCCCAGCAGGATCAGCACACGGGGTTAGTGCCCCTCACTCCTGAACCGCAGCCCCCGCTAGCCCGGCCCTACCTGCCCCCCCAGCCCTGCCGGTGCCCCTCACTCCCAACCCGCAGCCCCTGCTAGCCCAGCCCTGGGCCTTCCCAGCCCTGCCGGTGCCCCTCACTCCCAACCCGCAGCCCCTGCCAGCCCGGCCCTGGGCCTTCCCAACCCTGCTGGTGCCCCTCACTCCCGACCCACAGCCCCCGCTAGCCCGGCCCTGGGCTCCCCCAGCCCTGCCGGTGCCCCTCACTCCCAACCCGCAGCCCCTGCCAGCCCGGCCCTGGGCCTTCCCAGCCCTGTCGGTGCCCCTCACTCCCAACCCGCAGCCCCTGCCAGCCCGGCCCTGGGCCTTCCCAACCCTGCTGGTGCCCCTCACTCCCGACCCACAGCCCCCGCTAGCCGGCCCTGGGCTCCCCCAGCCCTGCCGGTGCCCCTCACTCCCGACCCGCAGCCCCTACCAGCCCGGCCCTGGCCCCCCCAGCTCTCTGCGACTTACCAGACTCCCCACCCCCATGTGCCCCGAGTTGCCAGTGTCAGAACAAACCCTTAATCAGCACATGGGAAACACGCAGCACTTAGAGCAAATCGATACCCAGAGCGGCTAAGAGCTGTTCAGTGAATGGGCTGAGAGCCAGGTCTGCGGCCTGGGCGTGGGGGCACTGGCAGGGCCGGGCTGGCAGGGGCTGGGGGTCGGGAGTGAGGGGCACCGGCAGCGCTGGGGGGGCAGGGGCTGTGGGTCGGGAGTGAGGGGCACCGGCAGGGCTGGGGGGGCAGGGCCGGGCTGGCAGGGGCTGCGGGTCGGGAGTGAGGGGCACCAGCAGAGATTGGGAGTCAGGAGCTCAGGGCCGTTGGACCAGCCCCCTGCCCTGGGGTAGGATCAGGGCGGGTGCCCCTTAGAGGGGACAGGCCCCATGTGCCCTTCTCTGCTCCCCCAAAGCAGCCACCCCTCCCCCTTTCCCTGCTTGCGGCTGAGCCCGGTGCCAGCCACGGGCGTGAAGCAGGAATCTCACGACAGCTCCAGCATCAGGACCCTTCAAAGGCTCCCGGTGACAGGCGGGTGATGGTGCCCCCAATACGTCACCCGCCAGCGAGACGCGCCCCAGAAAAACAACCTGCTGCCAGAGAATCCAGCCCCCGCTCCAGCCAACAGCCCCCTCCCCCAGCCAGGGAGAGACCCAGGCATCCGGGCTCCCAGCCTTCCCGCCCCTGCTCTAACCACCAGACCCCACTGCAGGGCAAAACGTTCTGAGCCTGTGACTTGCTGTTCATTCTGCCATGACCCCAGGCGGGTGAAATCTCAGCTGCCCTGATTCCCACCCCGCCCCCCATCCTCACACCTGCACCTTCAGTGCAGGAGGTCCCGAGTGTCCGGGCAGCTGCCCCACCCCAGAGGCGGCTGCATCATCGCACAAGGTCTGCCGGCTCTGGGGACAAAGGCCTGTGGGCCCATTGATGGTCGACTTTGCTCAGGGAAAGAGGTAAAAGTGTCTGTACCTTGTTGATCCCATGGGCCCATTTACCCTGGTGTCCTGGCTAAGGTTGATTTTCCCAAGGGCCCTGCACCCCCAGCCAGACACCAAATATCCTGCCTCCTGCTCACCCTGCTGCAGTGGGATCCGAGTTCGATACCAGCCCGGCTCTGGGATGAAATCCAGCGGCCGGTAGTTCCGCAGGCCCCCCCACCAAGGGAGTTTCCAAACTTATCAGCTGTTTGGTCTCCTTCCAGCGCCCCCTGCTGGCAGAATGGCAGAGATCTATCGGGGCTGAGGACCCAGGCGGGGGGTCTTTGCCCTGTGCCGACACCCCGCCCCCCCAAGTCCTGCCTCCCACCCCTCCCCCTTCCAAATAACAGACATTCACTTCTTGCCAGAACTCACCTCTTTATTGTGCTTTGTAACTTTTTGGACAGAATTTAAGCTGCCACGTGACTGGCTGATGAAAAGCTGGCCTCCCATTGGTCAGGAGGGTTCTCTGTCCCGCCCCCTTCCCCCCAGGCCATTGGATTGTGCCGAGGAAAATAGTCTATAAATAAGACGGGGGGGCGGGGCGGGCGGTACAGGGGGGGGGGGGGGCAGGGCCAGGGTGGGAGGGGGCTGCGGGTCGGGAGTGAGGGGCACCGGCAGGGCTGGGGGGGGCAGGGCCAGGGGCTGCGGGTCGGGAGTGAGGGGCACCGGCAGGGCTGGGGGGCCAGGGCCAGGGGCTGCGGGTCGGGAGTGAGGGGCACCGGCAGGGCTGGGGGGGCAGGGCCAGGGTGGGAGGGGGCTGCGGGTCGGGAGTGAGGGGCACCGGCAGGGCTGGGGGGCCCAGGGCCAGGGGCTGCAGGTCAGGAGTGAGGGGCACCGGCCCAGTTGCGGGGGGGGGGGGGAGGAGGCAGGGCCCCACCCCACACAGCTGGGGCGGGGGGCATTGGTGACATCACCAGCCCATACATCAATATTTCATTGTTTTCCTTCCCCCCGCTGGAAGCCCCAGGAGCGTTGGCGAGACGGGCGGGGGCGGGATCCTTTCTGGGCAGCACGTTGATGCCAGCCTGAGTCCGCCCCCCAGGCTGCCAGTGCAGAGATGCGGCCAGCTCTGGGGTGGGGGCGGGCTGGGGCCAGCCACTTATAACACCATGTGGGGACGGCTTGCCCGGCGGCGAGACGGGGGCCGCGCTGGGGCGGGGGCTGGGAACAGCTGCCCGGGCCCTTCAGGATGGTGAAGTTACCTAGAATCGCCCCAGGGGGAATTAACCCCGGACGCCTGGGTTCCTGCCCTGACTGGGGCTTCGGGGCACAGGGTGGAGGAGTTTAAGGACAAACAAGATTAGGGCATTTCCCATCCCAGGAGAGCGCCTGCCCCTCTGGGCCCCCCGCTGATCCCCCCCACCCAGGCCCCTGCCCCAAGGCGCCCCCCAGCCCTGCCAGAGAACAGCAGCCCCTCCCCAGCCCCCCCCCACTGACACCGGGAGCCGAGCGGCCAAGTCCACGTCTTTATTGTCGCCGTAGCGAGTCGCGGCTCACGTCACCGCCCCATTAACCCCCCAGAGCCGGGGGGGCAGGGAAAGTGCAGTCAGAAGATGGGCCAGGCCCCCCACCCGAGCCCAATATACACAGCACCTCCCTCGGGGCCCCCATCGCACAGAGGCGAGGGGGCTGGGGGGGGACTTGTATTGGGACACATGTGGGAGGGGCTGGGGGGCAGAGCAAGTCCGGGGCAGGAAAGGGGGGTAAAGGAGCTGCTACCCCACGGGCAGAAGGGAGAACCGCCAAAAGATGAATAGGGGCCCCTCATTCCCACCCCCAGCTCCACCGGTGCCCCTCACTCCCGCCCCGCAGCCCCCACCCCCACCGATGCCCCTCACTCCCACCCCGCAGCCCCCACCCCCACCCGTGCCCCTCACTCCCACCCCGCAGGCCCACCGGTGCCCCCCGCTTTCCCCTGCTGGTTCCCCCTCCTGCCAGGGGAGGTAGCCTCTTTCCCATGCTTCTTAGAGGGCCGGTGACCCGCCCGCAAGCCCCCCAATCCAGGGATAAAGTCTGGGGGTGGCGGTGGGGGGTGGCGTGCAGCTCGAAAGGGGCAGGATCTGGGCTGGGGGAGAAGGGGTTCAGGTACCCAGAGGATGGAGGGGAGGGGATGATGGGCAGTGAGATGGGGGGAGGGAGCTCAGGTGGGGACAGGGCCCCCCGCCGGCTGGGAGGGGCTAGAGGCAGATGGGGCAGAGGACAATGAACCATCAATGGAGCTGGGAGGGCGAGGGAGGAGGCGAAGGGTTAAAAGGTCCTGCCCCCATATAATGTATGGGGGGGCAGGAAGCTGCTGGCCAGGTGGGGGGCAGCGCTTGAAGCAAGGGCATGGGGTGCCCTGGGAACAGGCAGGTCTTGCCCCTGGCCCCACCCCCTGGTGTAGTGGGGGGTCAGCAGGCCCCGCCAGGGTCAGCGCCGGTGGGGGCGGGCGGGGGGAGGGGGACGCACTCCTTGCTGAGCCGCACGATCTCCTGGGACAGGACCTCCAGGTGCTGGAAGAGACGAGGGGAGGGGTGAGGGGCAAAGAACCCAGGAGTCCGAGAGCCCCTGCGCCCCAGGGGAGAGCGCCCCAGGGGGAGAAGGTCTTGGGGGGGGGGGGCTCTCCCCCAGCAGGTGGGGACAGGCACAAGAGGGTGCTTGCCCCACGCCCCTCCCCTCCCCCGGACCCCGCCCCCACAGGCTCCGCCCCTCCCCAGGACCCCGCCCCCCACAGGCTCCGCCCCCTCACCTGCTGCAGGTGCATGTTCTTGGTGAGCTGCTCCTCCAGCAGGTTCTGCAGCTTCTTGTTCATCTCCCGCAGGTTCTCGTCGCCCGGCTTCACCAGGTCCCGCAGGACGCTGCCCAGGGTGCTGCGGTCCAGGGGCCCGTGGGCCGCCGACACGTCTGGGGGGCAGACGGGGGAGGGGTGAGCCAGCCCCCACCGAGCCCCCCCAACACCACAGCGGGGGGGCTCTCCCGGCACCGGACAACCAGCTGGGATCGGATAGGTGGGGCGGGGGGAGGGAGCCAGAAAGATAGGACCCAGGTGTCCTGGCGCCCCTCCTCTGACCACCAGCTCCTCCCCCCAGAGCCGGGGAGAGAACCCAGGAGTCCTGGCTCCCAGCCTCCCTGCTCTAACCGTTCTTGCACAGTGGTGTTTAGTGGCTTGGGGGGGCTGGGAGCCAGGACGCCTGGGTCCCCCCCCCGCAGGGCAGGACAATGACAGAGGAAGGGAAGGAGCAGGGAAGGTATTTTTAGCCATCATGAAACATTCAGGGCCGGAGCCGCCCGCTGCCAAGCCGAGGGGAACACGACCCCACTGCAGCTATTTATACCCGGGGCTGCGGGCCAGAGCCGCCCGCCAAGCTACCGCTCCCGGCTCCCTGCCCCACCCCAGAGGGGGCTGCATCTCTCCCTGGGGCAACAGACCGGAGGGCGCAGCCCTGCCCACTTCCAGCCCAGGAGGGCAGACAGAGGTGATCTAATTGGGGGGCCCGGGGCAAACGCTGGGCCTGCCAAGCCCCCCCTCCCCGCAGCACAGCACCCAGCCCTGCCCTGCGGGAGAGGGCCCCCTGCAGCACCCCCTGGGCAGCCCTGTGTCCCAGGGAGCGGCTCCCACCCTGCTCAGTGCAGGAGGCACCCGGCTGCGGGGGGCCGGGGGACGCAGCGCCAGGCCTGAGCCAGGCGGGATCGATTCCCGGAGCCGCCTCTGGCCCAAGGTGACCCAGGCTGGAGGGAGCGGAAGGGGACTCGCCCAGCAGCCCTTGAGGAGCCGCGGGCCGGGGAGAACTCCAGGGTGCAGGGACCCGGCCCAAGGGTGGGGAACGGGACATGGAGCCTTTCCCCTGTAGGGGGCGCTGACTCCGAACTGCCCCCCCGGGGGGGGCGGCTGACGCAGGGGGCCAGGAAACAGGACACAGGGCAGCAGAGCGCTTTGCTTTCCTTCCATATCAACAGAAGTGACTTGAAGAAAACCTGATGGGGCTGCAGCCACCTCTGGGGTGGGGACCTAGGAACGGCCACATATAAACGCCACATGAGGAGGGCTCATTTGGTGCCAAAATGCAGCCACCTCTGGGGCAGGGCAGCTGGGGAACAGCCACACACAACGCCGCACAGGGGTGGCTTGCTCAGGAAGGGTTGGGGGTATGCAGGGCCCATCCCTCCGGCCTCAGGGCTGGAGGGGGTGACCAGCCTTCCCCAGAGCCCCGTGGAGGCCCCCAGCAGACATCCAGGGCGGCCGACACCTGCACAGTCCCGCTGGCCATGCCCCGACCTGCCGCCCCCACCGCACCTGAACTCACCGGGGGGGGGGGGAGGAGAAGAGGAGAGTGGGGCAGGGGTTTCCCAGCATGCCGTGCAGCAGAAGGCCTCCCCCCTGCCCTGGCTGAGATGGGACACCGCCACGGCTCCCGGCCTCGCAAAGTCTGGGACGGCTGGCGATGAACCCAATCCACTGGGACAGGGAGAAACCCCCAGCCCCCACTCCCCTCCCAGAGCCAGAGGGAACTCAGGAGTCCTGGTGCTCAGCCCCCCCCGCCCCCAACCACCAGACTCCGCCCCCTCCCGGACACCGGGGTCCTCACCGATGCGACTGTCCATGACGTAGGTCTCAATAATGGCACTTTTCCGGCACAGATCCTCCGCCATCGAGGCGCTGCTCACCTCCAGGTGCTTCACCTGTGGGGCAGGTCAGAGCCGGAGACATCGCCCCTCACTCCCGACCCGCAGCCCCCAGCCCTGGTCCCCCCCACTCCCCAGCACCCCCCGTGGGGCGGGGCCGGTACCTTTTCCTCCAGCATCCACTTCTCCTGCTGCATCTCCGCCAGGCGCTGGAAGAGCTCCGAGATCTCCTCGTCCGACAGGTCCGCGGGGCGTTGGGACTGGGGGCTCCCCGTGTTGGACTGGGGGGCAGAGAGAGGGGGGAGGGGCTGTCCTGAGTGCTGATGGGACCCCCAGGGAGGGAGGTAACAGGGTGTGAGGGGCGGGGTTTGCAAAGGGGATGGGGCCTGGGCATAGTCTGAGGGAAGTGGGGGACAGGGAGTGGGGAGGGGAGGAGCCCTAGCATCAGGGGCGGGGCTAGCAGCAGAGGCCACACCCCCCCAGCAGGGAGGGAGGGGAGGAAGAAGCAGAGGCCTGTTGGGAGCCTGCACAAGAAGCCCCACCCCTTTAGGAGGGAGGGGGAGCAGAGCATGGGGGCGGGGCTTGGTACAATAGAGGCCCCACCCCCAAGCAGGAAGCCCCGCCCCTCACCTTGGTGCTGCCGGGCCCCGACCCCTCCTTCATGATCTCCCGGTAGCTGAAGGACGAGATGCTGCTGCTGTCGCCCGTCTGCGCCCGGCTGGGGGAGCTCATCTCGGCCAGAACCAGCTCCTCGATCCCTGTGGAGACAGGGCATGGAACCCAGGAGTCCGGGCTCCGCCTCCCCCCCAGAACCGGGGAGAGAACCCAGGAGTCCGGGCTCTAAGCGGCCGCACCCGGGGCTCGTTCGGCCAGGTGACAGGGGGACACGATGAAGGCTCTGAGCTCCGGGGAAAGAGGAATGAACGGGTCAGGCCCAGCAGGCAGCCAGGCCGGGAACGGCGTGTCCGCGTCCAATACTTGATCTCCCGTTTTCTGCTTTTCACTTGACCGTGGCAGGAGCGTTTCTGCATCTCGCCGGGGGGCTGCCCCCCCGCCCCGAAAGCCACTGAGTCAAACACACTCTCCTCTGGGGTGATCCCCACGTCCCTCCCTGCTCTAAAGCTTGCTGAGCTCTTGGCCTTCAGGGACATCATGTGGCGAGGAGTTCCGCAGGCTCCGCCTTTGAAACTGCCCCCTTCTGCGACGCCTTGGCAGACTGGAGAATGGTGGGGCTGCCCCCAATGGTGGAAGAGGGAACAGTGCACAGGCTGTGCTCCCATCGCCCCCTACAGCCCAAGACCACCGCAGATTCGCTGTGCGCCTGTCCCCTCCAGCTGCCTCGCCCCAGAGGCGGCTGCATCTCAGCACCAGAGCAGCCGTCCCCGTGTGCCGTTGTGTGTGGCTGTTCCCCAGCTGCCCCGCCCCAGAAGTGGCTGCATCTCAGGGCCAGATGAACCACGTTCATGCAAAGCAGCGTAGGAAGGGACTTGGAATCCTTCAGAAGCAGGAGGTTGAGGGGAAGGTCCCGTGTCCCGTTCCCTGCCCCCCTGGGCCAGCCAGTCCCCAGCCCTGGGGCCAGCGTCCTTCCGCGCTCACCCGTCCGGGTCTTGCTGTTGGTCAGGATCTCCTGCAGTCGCTCCTGCAGCTTATCCGCCCGCTTCCTCTCCAGCTGCAGCTGCCGCTTCAAGTCTTTGAGCTACGGAGAAGGGGGGCAGCGAATTGAAAGGGCCGGCGGTCCCGGTGGCCTGGGGGCGCAGCCCTGTGCTGAGGGGGTGGGGGGATGGGGCAGGAAGCAGGGACATTAATAGGGGAGCGCACCGCTGTTTAACCCCGTCTCCCCTCTGCATGGCAGCAGCTGGAGGGGGCCTGGGGGCCCCATGACCTGCCAGTCCCCCCCCCCAACTGCAGTGCATCAGAGGAGCGCCCGGGCTCTGTCCCGGCTCCGAGGGCGTGGGGATCAGGACTCCTGGGTTCCATGGGCGGGGCCGGAGGGGGCCACTCACACTGGCGCTGCCTTTCTTCTCCAGGATGCGCTGTCCGTCCACCGTGTCCTTCACCTCCTGCCAGAGACGGGGCGGGATCAGTGTCACCCCCAGCCCCGCCCCCGCCCCAGGGGCTCCGGGGCCGGAAGGGAACTGGGGCAGCCCCTCACCTGTCTGAGCCGGCCGATCGTGGCCACGTGCTCGTCCCGGGAGCTCTCGGCCACCCGCAGCTGCTCCCTGGCGGCTTCCGCCTCTTGGGCCTTCAGCTGAGGGGAGGGAGAAGCAGCCCGGGGTTAACAAAGGGCTGCCTGTCCCACAGATGATGCAGCCACCTCTGGGGCGGAACAGCTGTGTATAGCACCACACAGGGTGAGCGCCTCGGCTCGGAGATGCAGCCACCTTTGGGGCAGGGCAGCTGCCAGTCGTACCTTCAACTCGGCCCCGTGGTGCTCCTTGCACACTCGAAGCGCCTCTTCGTGGTCACGCTGGTGCTTTTCAATCAGCTCCTGCAATGCAAGACGGAGACGCCCGGAGTGAGAACGGCCAGGGATATGGGGGGCGGGGACGGACCTGGGGCCGGTCCCCTCCAGGGGGCGCTGGCTCCCACCCGCCCCAGGGCAGGCGACAGGAATGGGACCCGGGGCCTCTCCCACCTCCGCTTCCTTGAGCCGCCGCTCGAACCAGCCTTTGGCCCCGTCCATGGACTGGATTTGCAGACGGAGCTCCTCCACCGTCTGCCGCGAGCTCTCCAGCTCCCGGCTCCGGGCCTGCGGAGAGAGCCAGCATCACCGCCCGCCCCTCAGGCAGAGGGGCAAGGTGGAGATAAATCTCTGCATTAAGCATCTTCCCGTAACTTTCATGACTTTGTGTTATGACTATTTTCACACATCTTTGTATCAGACCCTTACGTAGAAAACGTTGAATTGAGCCCTGGTCTAACGTTCGATAAAAACGTCTTTTCGCTCGGCGTAGAGTAAGATGCCCCCGTCCCTCTTAATCAATTGCCCTGTGGAACGAGCGAGGGGGGACTGAGCAAGGCAAGGCGTGGAAGGCAGCACCCCCAGCCAGCTGCAGCCCTGGGAGAGAGGGCGGAAGCCAGAGCCAAGAACAATGAGCCGTGCCAAGTGGGCTCACTGAAGAAGAGCGGACACACGGGCGGCCTTGGGGGCGAGGAGCCGGCCCCTTCTCTGGGGACACCCTCTTTGCAGCATCGGGACGACCCCCAGAAGGAGGCGCCACAGGGGGCCAAGGGACCCAGACTTTGACTCTGGGACGGATTCGCAGGAGAGGGACGCGGCGAGAAACGTGGGGTGTCTTGCAGGGGACCCTGGGTCTCATAAGGGGAGCAACTAGGTGGTAACAACAAGACGGGGGTGTGTGTGGGGGGGGTGGGGGAGTGTAATATCTACCATACGCATGCGATACAGTGTTAATTGATACATATATTACCAATAAACGTGGTGTTTGGCCTTACTCGCCCCGAAAAGATCCTGTGGGGTACTTCAAGTACAACAAAGGGGGCTTCAAAGGAGCAGGGCTCATGTGAGCCCACCCAGCTGGGGTGGAGCCCATGGGGCTGAGATGCAGCCACCTCTGGGGCGGGGAAGCGGGAACAGCCGCACACGACGCCGCATGGGGAAGGCTCGCCCGGCGCTGAGATGCAGCCAGCTCTGGGGTGGAGCAGCTGGAACAGCTGTGTGTAAAAACTCTGGTCCCCACAGGGCTCCCCCCCCAGCACCTTCTCCTCCTTGAGCTGCCCCCGCAGCTCCTCCTCGTGGCGTTTCTTCTCCTCGTGCAGCTCACGCAGCTCCCGTTCGTAGCGCGCCCGGACGCCCAGCACCTCCTTCTCCTGCTGCACCCGCAGCACCCCCAGCGCCTCCTGGTGCCGCCCCTTCTCCTGCTGCGTCTCCACCGCCATCGCGTCCAACATGGACTTCCGCTTGTCTGCGCTCTGTGGGGAGAGACCCCGCTGAGCCCCCCGCGGCGGCCAGGGGAGAGCGCCCCACACTGAGCCCCCCCCGCGGCGGCCAGGGGAGAGCGCCCCACACTGAGCCCCCGGGCGGCCAGGGGAGAGCGCCCCACACTGAGCCCCCCCCGCGGCGGCCAGGGGAGAGCGCCCCACACTGAGCCCCCGCGGCGGCCAGGGGAGAGCGCCCCACACTGAGCCCCCCCCGCGGCGGCCAGGGGAGAGCGCCCCACACTGAGCCCCCCGGGCGGCCAGGGGAGAGCGCCCCACACTGAGCCCCCCCCGCGGCGGCCAGGGGAGAGCGCCCCACACTGAGCCCCCCCCGCGGCGGCCAGGGGAGAGCGCCCCACACTGAGCCCCCCAGGGACTGGCCGCCCCAAGGGACTGGCCCCACTGAGGCCCCCTGCAGCCAGGGGAGAGCGCCCCCCACTGAGCCCCCCGCCCCACCTCTCACCTTCCTGGCCTCTTCTAGCTCCAGCAGCAGCTTCTCCTTCTCCTGGCCCAGCTCCTGCAGTTGCTCTAGGAGGCGGCTGTTGGCTCTGACGGATTCCTGGAGCGTGTGTGGGGGGGAGCGGGGGGGAACGACACAAACCAGGCCCCGATAAATCTGCTGCCCCCCACAGCTCAGACAGGGCCACGAGCGGCCAGGCCAGGGGACAGCGACACTCCAGCTAGCCCGGGGCCCTGTCTCCCGGAGCAGCCAGTGTGACAAGTTCAGGGCCAAGAAACGGAGCAGGGCGAGTCTGGGGAAACCCCGGCTGACAGAGGTTTCTGGGTTGCCCTGAGCCACTCATGCTAATCGCTGGGCCTGACCTCTAGCTGCTTCTCCGGCCTGTCTGACGCCCTGGGACGAGGAGTTCCGCAGGTGAATGCAAGAGCGTGGCTTCCTGGGGGCATTAACTGGTGGCCTGACCCTTCCATGGGGTAACCCCCTGGTTTGGGGATCCTGGCAAAGGGCAGAGTGGGCTGCTCCTTGATTGGGAACCTGGAGCCCACCCCCCATTGATAACTCAAACTGGTGCCCTCCGGGGGCAGAGCAGGGCCCTGCAGGCCCCACGGGCGGCGTGAGCCCTCCCCAGGTGTCCCGTCTCCCCCCACCTGTAGCTGGGTGTTTAGGTCGTCCCGCTGCCCAGCCAGCGCCTCCTTCTCTCTCTCCCTCTCCTGCAGCTCCAGGCCGAGCGCCGCGCTCTGCTCCCGCAGCAGATTCAGCTCCTGGGTCTTCGACGTCTGGATCTGAACAGCAGGAGAGGAAAGACGCTCGGCCTGGGGAACTACCCGCCACCGGCCCGCGGACGGCAGACCAGCCCCCACCCTGCTGCGCTTGACCAGGGCTAGTTAACTCCGGCATCTCCGAGGACAGGGAAGGAACCCAAGTCGCACTGACACTGGGAACCCGCCCTCAGCTACGGCACACCCCACAGCACTGGAGAGGATCGGGAACGCCCAGACAGCAAGTGAGGGGTGCGGGCGCCAGCTAACGGGGGAGTCCCCAGTGGCTGGGATAAGGGGAGGGCTGAGCGTGCCAGAGCCCGGGGGACACAGACCGGTGGGGGCGGGAGACTGCCCCCCTCCACCCCGGGGATAAGGGCAGAGAATAGACCAGAGGGGACACGGACTCCAGACGCAGGGAGAAACGCGGATTTCCCAGGCCAGGCGCCGACAGAGGAAAGAATCCAGCAAGCAGGAGAACCAGGGCATTCAGCACAAGAGCATCACACGCCTTTCCTCGGAGCGCGGCCAACACGGGAGGGCTTGCCCAGCGCGGAGACCAGCCGCCTCTGGGGTAGGGAGCAGCCGCCTGGAACGCTGCATGGGGACAGCTCCCCGGCGCGGAGACCAGCCGCCTCTGGGGTAGGGAGCGGCCGCCTAGAACGCTGCATGGGGACAGCTCCCCGGCGCGGAGACGCAGCCGGCTCTGGGGTAGGGAGCAGCCGCCTGGAACGCTGCATGGGGACAGCTCCCCGGCGCGGAGACCAGCCGCCTCTGGGGTAGGGAGCAGCCGCCTGGAACGCTGCATGGGGACAGCTCCCCGGCGCGGAGACCAGCCGCCTCTGGGGTAGGGAGCAGCCGCCTGGAACGCTGCATGGGGACAGCTCCCCGGCGCGGAGACCAGCCGCCTCTGGGGTAGGGAGCGGCCGCCTAGAACGCTGCATGGGGACAGCTCCCCGGCGCGGAGACGCAGCCGGCTCTGGGGTAGGGAGCAGCCGCCTGGAACGCTGCATGGGGACAGCTCCCCGGCGCGGAGACGCAGCCGCCTCTGGGGTAGGGAGCAGCCGCCTGGAACGCTGCATGGGGACAGCTCCCCAGTGCGGAGATGCAGCCGGCTCTGGGGTAGGGAGCAGCTGCCTGGAACGCTGCATGGGGACAGCTCCCCGGCGCGGAGACCAGCCGCCTCTGGGGTAGGGAGCAGCTGCCTGGAACGCTGCATGGGGACAGCTCCCCGGCGCGGAGACCAGCCGCCTCTGGGGTAGGGAGCAGCTGCCTGGAACGCTGCATGGGGACAGCTCCCCGGCGCGGAGACGCAGCCGGCTCTGGGGTAGGGAGCAGCCGCCTGGAACGCTGCATGGGGACAGCTCCCCAGTGCGGAGATGCAGCCGGCTCTGGGGTAGGGAGCAGCCGCCTAGAACGCTGCATGGGGACAGCTCCCCAGTGCGGAGATGCAGCCGCCTCTGGGGTAGGGAGCAGCCGCCTGGAACGCTGCATGGGGACAGCTCCCCGGCGCGGAGACCAGCCGCCTCTGGGGTAGGGAGCAGCTGCCTGGAACGCTGCATGGGGACAGCTCCCCGGCGCGGAGATGCAGCCGCCTCTGGGGTAGGGAGCGGCCGCCTGGAACGCTGCATGGGGACAGCTCCCCAGCGCGGAGATGCAGCCGCCTCTGGGGTAGGGAGCAGCCGCCTGGAACGCTGCATGGGGACAGCTCCCCGGCGCGGAGACGCAGCCGCCTCTGGGGTAGGGAGCGGCCGCCTGGAACGCTGCATGGGGACAGCTCCCCGGCGCGGAGACCAGCCGGCTCTGGGGTAGGGAGCAGCCGCCTGGAACGCTGCATGGGGACAGCTCCCCAGCGCGGAGACCAGCCGGCTCTGGGGTTTCGGGCAGGCAGCGAAGGAGAATCCCGGCCACAAATCAAACCCCAGCTGGGCGCGGGACGGGGTCAGAGGTGCCCCAGCTGCGAGTCCCGCAAACTGGGATTTGGACCAAGACCCTGAGCTCGCGCCCCCGCAAGACTTAGAACAACTGCCTGGGGGAATTAATGACTCCCCCCCGACACCCAGCCCTGACTGCCAGGGGAGAGAGCCCCCTGCCGAGCCCCCCACCCTGCTCCCCGCCCCACGGCGCCCCACCCCCACCCAGGGCCCGGCCCTGACTGCCAGGGGAGAGAGCCCCCTGCCCCAGCGGGTACCTGCTCTAGTGCGGCTAGATTGGTTCTCAGGGCATCGTTCTCAGAGAGAATCGTCTCTACTTGCTCCTGGCTCTCTGCGCTCTGGCAGGCCACCTGCCCCCGGGGGGCACGGAGCGGGGAGGGGGAGACGCCCCAGAGACAGAGGTAGAAAGAGAAGAAATGCAGGTTAACACAGAGAACAGCCGAGGAGGAGAAGGAGGAGGAGGAGATGAATGGTGGCAACGCATCCCTGCCAATTCCCCATCTGGTCCTCAGTTTCCCCAGCTGTACCTCACGTGTAACACCACTGCTGTCCTACGGCTGGGGCAGGACAGGGCCACCACAGCCGGGAGACGGCGCTATTTGTACGTTCACGCAAAGACGCAGCAAGCAGGGTTAACAAAAAACCACTAAGAAAATATCCGTGAACTGCAAAATTCAACATGGGACCCGGGGTTGGCGTGAAACAAGATCAACTTCAAACCCCCAAGAAACGAAGAGCCCAAACCCCGACGTGAAACGCAGAACACGCCCCAGCCCCAGGGGGAAACGAAGGGCCGAAAGGCCAGGCCCCCCGTGACACCCAGACCAGCAGGGAAAGGGGGCGCCGGACCGTGGCCATGAAACGGGGTTAACGAAACACAGACAACAAGGGAAAACCCCTGAGGGGCGAAGCGGCCGCCCGTGGGAACCCACGGGAAGGGGCTGGTCATTTGCGAGGAAACAGGAACCCAGCAGGTGAAGCAGAGGGAGGAGAGGGGAAGAACCAAAGCTGGGCTGGGTCCTGCCCCCCGGCTGCCCAGCCCTGGGGAGGTTAGATAAATGAGGGGTCGGGGGCTGGTTCCCCACATGTTGCTCCCATGGAGGCTGCAGGGAAGCGAGAACGGCTGCTATCCTCGACACGGCCCTGGAGGGGACCAGATCCCAGCCCCACCCAGAGGACCCAGGAGTCCAGGCTCCCAGCCCCCTCTCCAACCAGCTAATCCCACTGCCTCCACCCCGGGGAGGGAGTGGCCCCGGGCGGGAGGAGCTCCCCGGGGGCTCACCTGGTCCTGCAGCGCGTGAAGGGCGTCCGCGTGCTCCCTCTGCCGGCTCTGCAGCTGCTCCTGCACCTGGGCAGCGCTCTGCCGGGGAGAGGGGGAAGGGGTGGGACAGAGCCCCCCCAGGATCCCTCCCACAAACCATCCCCCGCCTCCTGCACACCCCTGAACCCCCACGTACGGAGCCCCTCCCCACCCGGCCCAGCTCCTCCCCGAACCCAGAGCCGGCCGGCCGGGGGCTCACCTGCGCGGCTGCCTGCAGCTCCTGGTGCAGTTTCTGGTTGCGAAGCTGCAGCGATTTCAGCTCCTCGTCTCTCCTCTGCTGGACCTCCGCCAGCTTGGTCCTGGGGGAGGAATTCCGGGGATGGGGCCCCTCATGCTCAGGGAAGGGGAGAGAACCCAGGAGACCGGGCTCCCAGCCCCCTGCTCTAACCACTAGACCCCACTCCCCTGCCAGAGCCGCAGGGGAGAACCCAGGAGTCCAGGCTCCCAGCCCGCACCGCCCTGGCTGATGCCATGGCCAGTCAGGGCTGAGCACAGCCTGCCCCCCAGCCGCAGGCCCCGAAGGAAGGGGACATTCCCAGGTGCCCGGCGGGTGGCTGCCGACCCAGGCCCCTGCGGACAGCAGCTGCTGCCGCCCACCCATGCGTGAGATGCGGCTTATTCCACCCTATTGACCGTCCTACCCCCCCGCTGGGATCTCGGGCCGTTACGATACGGTGCCAGGCTGTGCCAACCGCAAGCCGAGTGAGGCCTCACCAGGACCCAGGAGTCCGGGCTCCCAGCCCCCCCCGCTCTAACCACTAGATCCCACTCCCCTCCCAGATCTGGGGAGAGAACCCAGGAGTCCTGAGGCCAACACAACAGGGTGGGAGAAAACGATGGACTTTTAACCATTTACTTGACGCCCTGCGGGACCAGAGACAGTTTGGAGCTGAGAGAAGAAGAACTCTGTGTGAGTCCGTCCCTGCGCCCCTGCTGGAGGGAGGGGGGGCCCTGCGCTGGGGGGGGGATCCGTGTCCCCCTGCGCCCCCTGCTGGAGGAGGGGGGCCCTGCGCTGGGGGGGGAGATCCGTGTCCCCCTGCGCCCCCTGCTGGAGGAAGTGCTGGGCCCTGCGCTGGGGGGGATCCGTGTCCCCCTGCGCCCCCTGCTGGAGGAGGGGGGGCCCTGCGCTGGGGGGGGGATCCGTGTCCCCCTGCGCCCCCTGCTGGAGGAGGGGGGGCCCTGCGCTGGGGGGGGGCTCCGTGTCCCCCTGCGCCCCCTGCTGGAGGAGGGGGGGGCCCTGCGCTGGGGGGGATCCGTGTCCCCCTGCGCCCCCTGCTGGAGGAGCTGGGCCCCGCGCCGTGTCCCTCCCCGCTGGGGGGCAGGGGGGCCGGATGGAGGCAGCCAGGGACCACGCGGGTGCCCGGCCCCAGGCCCCGGCGGGCACGGGGGCGTCTTGCCCGCGGCTCGGGGGGGTTCCCGGCCGGTGCAGCCCCGTCTTACCTGCTGTCGTTGTAGAGGGCTTCCTTCTCCGCCTGCAGCCGCCGGAAACTAGGAGACAAACGCCGACAGTCACCCACCACGCAGCGGGGGGCCTGGTTATGGGGTGCGGGGCCTGTCCCCTCTTGGGGGCCCCGGCTCCCCCGCTCTAACCACCAGACCCCCAGAGCCAGGGAGAGAACCCAGGCGTCCTGGCCCCTACCTCTCTTGCTTTTTCTTCAGTTTCTCAGCGAGCTGCAGCGAGGGAGAGAGGAGGGGGACGCCGTCAGGAAGGGGTCACCACGGAGCCCCCACCCCACAGCCCAGCCGCCCCCGCCCCCCGGGTCAGGGATCCAGGGTCCCACTCGCCTTATTCAGCTCGTCCTGAAGCTGGGAGATCTCCACCTGCTTGGCCACCTGGGGAGAGAGCAGGGGGGGTCAGACCCAGGGGAGCCCCCAGCCCGGGACCCCCCCACCCCTAGCGCCGCACCCCCCGCTGACCTCCAGGCTCTGCAGCTGCTCCCGCAGCAGCCTCTTCTCCTCCCGCGCCGTCTCCCACTTCAGCGCCAGCTCCGAGGGCAGGGGGGGGCCGGGGCTGGCCCCCGGCGTAGGCCCAGCCATGGCCTCTCCGGCGGGGCCCTGAGCTTGGGGGGCGTCCCCCTGCCCCTCGGCCTGCCGGGCCACCTCCTTCTCGAAGCGCTCCTGCAGGGCTGTGGGGACCCGGTTACTGCCCCGCTCCCACCCCACCCCGCCTGCCACCCCTCATTGCCAGGGAGAGCGCCCCCCGCCCCGGCCCTCCTGCCAGGGGACAGCGCCCCCCGCCCCTCTCCCCACCCACAGCGCCCCATGGCGCCCCGCCCTTCCTGCCAGGGGACAGCGCCCCCGCCCCTCTCCCCACCCACAGCGCCCCATGGCGCCCCGCCCTTCCTGCCAGGGGACAGCGCCCCCGCCCCTCTCCCCACCCACAGCGCCCCATGGCGCCCGGCCCTTCCTGCCAGGGGACAGCGCCCCCGCCCCTCTCCCCACCCACAGCGCCCCATGGCGCCCGGCCCTTCCTGCCAGGGGACAGCGCCCCCGCCCCTCTCCCCACCCACAGCGCCCCATGGCGCCCGGCCCTTCCAGCCAGGGGACAGCGCCCCCCCCCCCCTCTCCCCACGCACAGCGCCCCCATGGCGCCCGGCCCTTCCTGCCAGGGGACAGCGCCCCCGCCCCTCTCCCCACCCACAGCGCCCCCATGGCGCCCGGCCCTTCCTGCCAGGGGACAGCGCCCCCGCCCCTCTCCCCACCCACAGCGCCCCATGGCGCCCGGCCCATCCTGCCAGGGGACAGCGCCCCCCGCCCCTCTCCCCACCCACAGCGCCCCATGGCGCCCGGCCCTTCCTGCCAGGGGACAGCGCCCCCCGCCCCTCTCCCCACCCACAGCGCCCCATGGCGCCCGGCCCTTCCTGCCAGGGGACAGCGCCCCCCCACCCCCAGGTTACCTGCCACGTTTTTTTGCAGCGCCTTGTTCTCGGCCTGGAGCCGCAGGAACTCGCCGGGCGGGGGCCCAGGGGGCGGAGGCTCGTCCGGCACTGGGCCCCCCCCCTGCATCCTCTTATTGTCGGTCTCCAGCTGCTCGATCTGGGAGCACAGCTGGAACGAGGGCAGCAGAGGCAGGGGTCAAAGGTTAAGTAACCTCGCCGTCTCCCCCGTGAGCCCCCGGCTCTGAGAGCCCGGCCCCCGGCGCGGTACCTTGGACAGCTCCCGCACCAGCGCGCTGTTCTGCAGCCGGAAATCCTCCTCCTGGCTGTGCAGTTTGCTTTGGAGCATCTCGTTCTCGCTCAGCAGGGCCTCCACCTCCTGGGGGGCGACAGGGGTCGGGCCCAGACCGCCAGCTCTGCCCCCCTCCGGGGCACCGAGCCCCCCGCCCCCAGCTCTGAGCCTGTCCAGGCCACAGAGCCCCACCCCCAGGGCGCCAAGCCCCACCCCCACCCCAGCTCTGCCCCTCCCCCACCTGGATCCCCAGGCCACCCCCACCCCGCCCAACAGCCCCTAATTCCACCCCCCACTCATTCCATTCCCTCCTCCCACAGGGTCCCAGAGCTGGGCACCCCAACAGCAGTCGAGCGGCTGAGTGGGTAAGGTGCCAGCCTGGGGCTCAGGACTCCTGGGTTCTCTTCCCGGCTCTGGGAGGGGAGTGGGGGCTGGTGGTTGGGGTGGGGGGAGCCAAGACGCCCAGATGCCACAGTGACAGGCCTCACGCTGGTCCCGGTGAGGGATAACCACCCTGCCCGCCCGAAGCTTTCCCGCCCCGCCAATGGGACGGCCTCACCTGAGCCTTCTTGCTTTTCCCCAGAGCCTGCAAAAAGAGAAGGGAAAAGTCTGTAACTAAGAACACTGGGGACCCACAGCTTCCCTCCCACCCACCCCAGAGGCGGCTGCATCGCAGCACCAGACGAGTCTTCCCCAGGCAGCGTTATGCGCGGCTGTTCCCCAGCTTCCCTGCCCCAGAGGTGGCTGCATCTCAGTGCCAGGCGAGCCCTCTCCATGTGGGGACGCGCCGTCACACGCGCGAACGCCCCCCAGGGCGGGGAGGGCAGGTACCTTCTGAGCCTTGGCGAGCTCCTTATCCAGAAAGGTGACACGCTGCCGGAGCCCGGTGAGCTCTGTGGGGAGAGAGAGACCAGGTCAAACGCCACGGCAAGGGGGTGCGTCCCTCTGGGGCATGGCAGCCCCATCCGGCCCCAGGGCAGGGACTGGCCAGCTCGGGGGGGGGGGGCAGGGAATGGGGCAGGGGCCTGTCCCCTCTGGGGGGCACCAGCCCCCACCGGCCCCAGGGAGGATGGCCAGCTCGGGGGGGAGGGAATGGGGGGCCTGTCCCCTCTGGGGGGCACCAGCCCCCATCCGGCCCCAGGGCAGGGACTGGCCGGCTCAGGGGGGGGCAGGGAATGGGGCAGGGGCCTGTCCCCTCTGGGGGGCACCAGCCCCCATCCGGCCCCAGGGCAGGGACTGGCCGGCTCAGGGGGGGGGCAGGGAATGGGGCAGGGGCCTGGGGGCACCAGCCCCCATCCGGCCGGCTCAGGGGGGCGGGAATGGGAGACGCTGGGGCAGAGGCCAAGGGCCCCCCCGAGGGTGAGAGTCAGTCTCAGTGACACCCCCCAGCCCAGCCCAGCCCCCCGTTACCGGCGCCGGTTTTCCGCAGCTCGTCCGACAGCTGGTAGTTGTGGGTGCGGAGCTCCAGCAGCTGCGCCTGGGCACAAACACACGGGGGTCAGAGGGGGCCCGGACGCCTGGGTTCTCCCCCCCAGCGCGGGGAGGAAGGGGATCTTGGGGGGGCCGGACGCCTGGGTTCTCCCCCCCCAGCGCGGGGAGGAAGGGGATCTTGGGGGGGGCCCGGACGCCTGGGTTCTCCCCCCCCAGCGCGGGGAGGAAGGGGATCTTGGGGGGGCCGGACGCCTGGGTTCTCCCCCCCAGCGCGGGGAGGAGGGGGATCTTGGGGGGGCCCGGACGCCTGGGTTCCCCCCCCCCCAGCGCGGGGAGGAAGGGGATCTTGGGGGGGCCCGGACGCCTGGGTTCTCCCCCCCAGCGCGGGGAGGAAGGGGATCTTGGGGGGGCCCGGACGCCTGGGTTCTCCCCCAGCGCGGGGAGGAGGGGGATCTTGGGGGGCCCGGACGCCTGGGTTCCCCCCCAGCGCGGGGAGGAAGGGGATCTTGGGGGGGGCCGGACGCCTGGGTTCTCCCCCCCCCCAGCGCGGGGAGGAAGGGGATCTTGGGGGGGGCCCGGACGCCTGGGTTCTCCCCCCCCCCAGCGCGGGGAGGAAGGGGATCTTGGGGGGGGCCGGACGCCTGGGTTCTCCCCCGCAGCTCCAGGAGGAGGGGGTCAGAGCGGGGGGGGGACGAGCCGGACACCTGGGTCCCCCCCGCACCTGCAGCCGCTGGAACTCCTCCGCCGACAGAGCCTGCGCCATCTTCCGGCCCCCGCCCGTCGGAGGACAAAAAACCACCCCCCCGGCGGTGGCTGCAACGGTACGGGTGACTTTAAGGGCGGAGCATAGAGTTGCCGGGGGCGGCCGGCGAGAGCGTCGCACGGAAGCAGGAAGTGGAGACCATAGAGAGGTGCCCGACGCCGCCAGGACGGGCGGGAGAGAGAGTCGCTCCCAGAGGCTGCAGGATCATAGAGTCGCATCCTTCGCCCCCGGAACCGGAAGTTGGGACCATAGAGACGTAAGGGCTCAAGCCGGAAGGAGAGAGCATAGAGGCGTGAGTGACAGAACGCCGCCCACCGAAAGGGTGCGAGGACCATAGAGATGGCCGGCGCGCGCGAAACCGGAAGTAGAGACCATGGAGTGGCGAGGGACAGAGCGTCGCTCGCTGAAAAACCAGCAGGGGCTATGATAGAGATTAAGGCGCCACCCGTGGGCAGAGCGTCCCCTGCTGAGCCTGGCGACCATAGAGACGCAGCGGGGACCCTTACCGTCACCCGCTTTGGTCCTCCAGCGCCCCCTCCCCCAGCCAGTTCGTGCCAACCACGAATTGGGATTAATTAACTCATTAGTGGCCGCTGGGCTGCCCCTTGCACCCACCCCTCGCTAGGTCCCTTGCTGATTGGCCAGCCCGTTAGCCAAGGACCCCCTAACGAGCCCCGGGGCACGGCCCTGGGGAGCCCGGCGGGTTAACGACCCGTCTCCCCGTTAGCCCCAGGCTGGCCCCGGCTTGCCTCAGTTTCCCCTCCGCAGGCTCCGGCGGACGGGCCGGGGGGCGCTGGCGGCCCGGGACCCCCTGGGGACGGGGTCCCCGCTGCAGCCGGGGAGTCGGGCCTGGCCACGGCCCCGGCCTCCGGCGAACCTCTGATTCCCAAGACAAATCCACCCTGCGGCGTTATACACGGCTGTTCCTGGGTTGCTCCGCCCCAGCGCTGGCCGCATCTCCGCGCCGGGGAGCCGTTCTCGTGGGGCGTTATACACGGCTGTTCCTGGGTTGCTCCGCCCCAGCGCTGGCCGCATCTCTGCGCCGGGGAGCCGTTCTCGTGGGGCGTTATACACGGCTGTTCCTGGGTTGCTCCGCCCCAGCGCTGGCCGCATCTCCGCGCCGGGGAGCCGTTCTCGTGGGGCGTTATACACGGCTGTTCCCCAGCCCCCCCGCCCCAGCACTGGCCGCATCTCCGCGCCGGGGAGCCGTTCTCGTGGGGCGTTATACACGGCTGTTCCTGGGTTGCTCCGCCCCAGCGCTGGCTGCATCTCCGTGCCGGGGAGCCGTTCTCGTGGGGCGTTATACACGGCTATTCCTGGGTTGCTCCGCCCCAGCGCTGGCCGCATCTGTGTGCCGGGGAGCCGTTCTCATGGGGCGTTATACACGGCTATTCCTGGGTTGCTCCGCCCCAGCGCTGGCTGCATCTCTGCGCCGGGGAGCCGTTCTCGTGGGGCGTTATACACGGCTGTTCCTGGGTTGCTCCGCCCCAGCGCTGGCCGCATCTCCGCGCCGGGGAGCCGTTCTCGTGGGGCGTTATACACGGCTGTTCCCCAGCCCCCCCGCCCCAGCACTGGCCGCATCTCCGCGCCGGGGAGCCGTTCTCGTGGGGCGTTATACACGGCTGTTCCTGGGTTGCTCCGCCCCAGCGCTGGCTGCATCTCCGTGCCGGGGAGCCGTTCTCGTGGGGCGTTATACACGGCTATTCCTGGGTTGCTCCGCCCCAGCGCTGGCCGCATCTGTGTGCCGGGGAGCCGTTCTCATGGGGCGTTATACACGGCTATTCCTGGGTTGCTCCGCCCCAGCGCTGGCTGCATCTCTGCGCCGGGGAGCCGTTCTCGTGGGGCGTTATACACGGCTGTTCCTGGGTTGCTCCGCCCCAGCGCTGGCCGCATCTCCGCGCCTGGGAGCCGTTCTCGTGGGGCGTTATACACGGCTGTTCCCCAGTCCCCCCGCCCCAGCGCTGGCCGCATCTCCGCGCCTGGGAGCCGTTCTCGTGGGGCGTTATACACGGCTGTTCCCCAGTCCCCCCGCCCCAGCACTGGCCGCATCTCCGCGCCAGGGGAGCTGTTCTCGTGGGGCGTTATACACGGCTGTTCCCCAGCCCCTCCGCCCCAGAGCTGGCCGCATCTCCGCGCCAGGGAGCCGTTCTCGTGGGGCGTTATACACGGCTGTTCCCCAGTCCCTCCGCCCCAGAGCTGGCTGCATCTCTGCGCCGGGGAGCCGTTCTCGTGGGGCGTTATACACGGCTGTTCCTGGGTTGCTCCGCCCCAGCGCTGGCCGCATCTCCGCGCCTGGGAGCCGTTCTCGTGGGGCGTTATACACGGCTGTTCCTGGGTTGCTCCGCCCCAGCGCTGGCCGCATCTCCGCGCCTGGGAGCCGTTCTCGTGGGGCGTTATACACGGCTGTTCCCCAGTCCCCCCGCCCCAGCACTGGCCGCATCTCCGCGCCAGGGGAGCCGTTCTCGTGGGGCGTTATACACGGCTGTTCCTCAGCCCCCCCGCCCCAGCACTGGCCGCATCTCTGTGCCGGGGAGCCGTTCTCGTGGGGCGTTATACACGGCTGTTGCCCAGCCCCCCCACCCCAGCGCTGGCCGCATCTCTGCGTCGGGGAGCCGTTCTCGTGGGGCGTTATACACGGCTGTTGCCCAGCCCCCCCGCCCCAGCGCTGGCCGCATCTCTGCGCCGGGGAGCCGTTCTCGTGGGGCGTTATACACGGCTGTTCCTCAGCCCCCCCGCCCCAGCGCTGGCCGCATCTCTGCACCGGGGAGCCGTTCTCGTGGGGCGTTATACACGGCTGTTCCTCAGCCCCCCCGCCCCAGCGCTGGCCGCATCTCAGCACTGGGAAACCATCCCTGTGTGAACCCTGCAGGGCGTGTGCGTTTGGACGGACTCCTGGCCCTCGGGGTCGCTCCCGGACCCCCCCCATTCCTGGCTGATGCGGGGTGGGGGTGGATCAGAGAGGAATTGTGGGTATTTACAGAGGGTTAACTGGGGCCAGGGAGAGCCCCCCTCTAATCCTCCCCCCCCCCCGAGCACGGGGACGAGATAACCTGTCTGACCCAATTGTCCATCTGTCTGCATTGGCGGCCCCCCCGCCCCCCACACTGCAAGGGGGGGGACACTGCGGCTCAGCCCAGGGGTCTGTTCTGGGAGTGCCTACTGGGCTGGCTGGGTCCATAGGGTGGGGCGGGGGGGAACCCGGACTCCTGGGTTCTCTCCCTGGGGGTGGGGGGCTCCCATTGGGGTGGATGCGGCCACAGGTGAATTCCCCCACTGAAATATCCTGTGCTGGGGGGGTCTCCCTGCGACGCCCCCCCAGCTTCTCCCTGCCTGAGACCCCCCCACATCCCCCCACAGGAGACCCCAAACCTCACTTCTTTCAAAGAGACTTTATTGGACTGTCCTACCTCTGCCCCCCCAGACGCTGGGGGGCACCCCATTGGGAGGGGGCGTGGCTTCAGCAAAGGGAGCGGGGCTTCTGGAAGAACCAGCCCTATGGCAGGAGCCTGCCTCGGCCAATGGGGGGGCAGTGTTCGGGGGGGGTGAAGCCCCCTCCTCTGCTGTGTCTTCTCCTGCCCCCCCATTCCTCCAGGCTGCACCCCCAGCGGGGGGTCCCTCTCCCACAGCTCCCCGCCCTACTGGGGGTCTCCTCCAGGGGGTCCTCGCGCCCCCCGGCCCTGGTCAATACGAGGCCACGCAGACCATCTCGTCGGCCAGCTCGTCCTCGGCCCGCGAGCGGGGCTCCTCGTCGCTGTACAGGGGCCCCCCCGGCCCCCCGGCCCCTTCCCCCTCGCTGCCCAGGGGGCCCCCGTGGCCCCCGGGCCCCCGCCCGCGGCTCAGCAGGTCGGAGGCGGCGCTCTCCATCTCGGCGATGCTCATGTGACAGGCGTCGGCGATCTCCCGCTTGGCGAAGGCCACGAACTTGGGGTCCCGGGCATAGAGCCCCAGACCCTCCGAGACCAGCACCTGGGGGGAGCGGGGGTCAGAGAGACTGGGGCGCCCGCCCCGCCCCCCAGCCAGCCGGCACCCCCAGAGGGGAGGGGTCCCGTGCCCCATTGCCCGCCCCCCCAGCCAGCCGGCACCCCCCAGAGGGGAGGGGTCCCGTGCCCCTTTCCCCGCCCCCCCAGCCAGCCGGCACCCCCAGAGGGGACGGGCCCTGTGCCCCTTTCCCCGCCCCCCAGCCAGCCGGCACCCCCCAGAGGGGAGGGGTCCCGTGCCCCATTGCCCACCCCCCCAGCCAGCCGGCACCCCCCCAGAGGGGAGGGGTCCCGTGCCCCTTTCCCCGCCCCCCCAGCCAGCCGGCACCCCCAGAGGGGACGGGCCCCGTGCCCCTTTCCCCGCCCCCCAGCCAGCCGGCACCCCCCAGAGGGGACGGGCCCCGTGCCCCTTTCCCGGCCCCCCCAGCCAGCCGGCACCCCCCAGAGGGGAGGGGTCCCGTGCCCCTTTCCCCGCCCCCCAGCCAGCCGGCACCCCCAGAGGGGACGGGCCCTGTGCCCCTTTCCCCGCCCCCCAGCCAGCCGGCACCCCCCAGAGGGGAGGGGTCCCGTGCCCCTTTCCCGGCCCCCCAGCCAGCCGGCACCCCCCAGAGGGGAGGGGTCCCGTGCCCCTTTCCCCGCCCCCCCAGCCAGCCGGCACCCCCCAGAGGGGACGGGCCCTGTGCCCCTTTCCCCGCACCCCCAGCCAGCCGGCAGCCCCCAGATGGGACGGGCCCTGTGCCCCATTGCCCGCCCCCCCAGCCAGCCGGCGCCCCCCCCGACTCACGGCTTCCACCAGGCTGTCAGCGCTGCCCCGCTGGTCGTGGTAGCCGGGACTGGGCACGTGGAGATGGGCATAGGGGGGCCAGGGCAGGTCCGGCTCGTGGGCCCCCCAGCGGGCGCGGGAGGGGGGCGGGAGGCTGCGGCTGCTGCTCTTCTCCCCCCAGCCCCGGACCGTCAGCCCCCCCTCCTCCACCAGCAGCAGGGGGGCGTAGAGTAGCCGGCCCCGCTTGGGGGGCGCGGCCCAGGCCTGCGAGGAGTCCCCTGGGGGGCGGCTGGTGCTGTGCCAGGAGGGAGCGCTGCTGTAGCCCTGGGGGGAGAGCGGGATGAGGGGGGCCGTGGGGGGAGCATGTACGCACACGCCCCCCCCAGCACCATCGCACGAACAGGCCCCTTGTTCAACCATCGCACACACACACACACCCCTCGCACCATCGCACGCACACAGGCCCCCATCTCACCATTGCTCACACACAGCCCACCCATCGCACCATCATGGACACACACCCCTCGCACCATCGCACGCACACAGGCCCCCATCTCACCATTGCTCACACACAGCCCACCCATCGCACCATCATGGACACACACCCCTCGCACCATCGCACGCACACAGGCCCCCATCTCACCATTGCTCACACACAGCCCACCCATCGCACCATCATGGACACACACACCCCTCGCACCATCGCACGCACACAGGCCCCCATCTCACCATTGCTCACACACAGCCCACCCATCGCACCATCATGGACACACACCCCTCGCACCATCGCACGCACACAGGCCCCCATCTCACCATTGCTCACACACAGCCCACCCATCGCACCATCATGGACACACACACCCCTCGCACCATCGCACACACACAGGCCCCCATCTCACCATTGCTCACACACAGCCCACCCATCGCACCATCATGGACACACACCCCTCGCACCATCGCTCGCACACAGGCCCCCATCTCACCATTGCTCACACACAGCCCACCCATCGCACCATCATGGACACACACCTCTGTCACACCATCGCACGCACACAGGCCCCCATCTCACCATTGCTCACACACAGCCCACCCATCGCACCATCATGGACACCCCCCGTCACACCATCGCTCGCACACAGGCCCCCATCTCACCATTGCTCACACACAGCCCACCCATCGCACCATCATGGACACACACACCCCCATCTCACCATTGCTCACACACAGCCCACCCATCGCACCATCATGGACACACCCCTGTCACACCATCTCTCGCACACAGGCCCCCATCTCACCATTGCTCACACACAGCCCACCCATCGCACCATCATGGACACGCCCCCTCGCACCATCACACGCACACAGGCCCCCATCTCACCATTGCTCACACACAGCCCACCCATCGCACCATCATGGACACCCCCCCGTCACACCATCGCACGCACACAGGCCCCCTCGCACCATCACACACCCATCCCATGGCACCGTCTCACCCCCTGCACCTCAGGACAGCCCCCGGCGTCCCCCGTTCCCCACTCATACATGGCTGGGCTCCCATGAAAAGTCACGACGGGCCGAAGCGCCTGGTCCCAGCCCATGGCTCAGCCCCGCGGGTGGAGCGCCCGCCCTCTGGCTGTGAGGGACACAGGCTGGAGACGCCCTGTGGCACCAAAGGGGGACCCAGCCCCCCACGGGCGCTAGCTGCCCGTCCTCAGCCACTCATCGTGAACGAGAGAGAGCCCCTCACCGGCTCTGCCCCCCAACCGCCGGCCACGGATCGCCCCGTCAGAGACCCCAGGCCGGCCGCCTCGTGCGAATGGCCGTGCGAGAGCGAAGCTGGCCAGGGGAGAGGTCGTGCCCACCCCCGCGGGTACCTGGGGGGGGTGGCGCCGGGCCGGGGCGTTCTGGTGGTAGGTGCCCGGGATGGGCATGTCCTCACAGCTGCCCTGCCGCTGCAAACACTGCATGAGGAAGGGGGGCTTCCGGCCTGGGGGGCGAATGGGGGGGACGTTACTCCCCAGCGCTCACATGCCCCCCTGCCCCAGGCCCCGCCCCTTCCCCAGCAAGCCCCACCCCCTCTGCCTTGTCCCCCAGCCTCAAATCTCCCCTTCCCCTAACTCCATCCACAACCTTAGCCCCGCCCCTTAACCCGCCTCATGCACCTGCCAGCTCCACCCACCACCCTAGCTCCACCCCTTACCCCGCCCCCAAAACGGCTTCCCGCTCTTTGCCCCACCCCAGCCAGCTCCCCAGCCCCACCCCTGTGGCCCCTCACCTCCCCCTTGCCCTCCTCTTTGCGAGCACTGCCCCCCAGCCCCCTACCTGCGGGCGTGGGGGGCAGGAGGCGACGGCGCTTGGCCAGGCGGCCCCCCGGCCCCCCATCCGGGTGGGCGTTGGAGAGGCGTCGGTGGGGCAACGGCAGGGACCCCCCATAGCCATCGTCCCAGCGGTGCCGGTAGAGCCGGGCGCCCCCCAGCCACGGCTGCCTGCGCCGGGCAGGGGAGGGACAGAACCAGCAAAGAAACAAGCCAAGAAAGGGGGAGGGAGGGAGGAGCGAGGCAATGGCAGACGAAGGAGGAAGCCGGGGCAGCGGAAAGACAGAGGGAAGGAACGAGAGACGGACGGGAAAGAAGAACAAAGGAGAGAAGCGATGAACGGATGGAAACAGGAACCAACGGAGGAAGCAAGGATGGGAAACAGGGAGAAGGAATGAAAGAAAGGAAGGAAGGGGGCAGGGGAAGAGAGGAAGGGGGAACCCCGGCATCCGGGGCCGAACCCCAGGAGGTCAAAAAAATGAAGGAAGGGAAGACAAAAGTGTCAGAAGGACACAGCAGGAGAGAGACAGAAAGCACCTCAGTGAGCCCCGCCCCGCGTGGGGCAATGTGGGGGGTGCTTCCCAGTTGCTAGGAGGTGGGGTAAACCCAAGCCCCACTCCAGCTCTGACCCGCAAGAGTCAGGGTGGGAACCCAGGCATCCGAGCTCAATCCCAGTGGGGGGAGCCCTCCCCGTGAGGCGTTATGTGTGGATCTTCCCCAGCCGCCCCGCCCCAGAAGTGGCTGCATCTCAGCTCCCCACCTGTCCTGAGAGGCCAGGCTCTCTGAGTCCTCCTCCCGGCTATTGTAGCCTTGCTCCCCCGCCGTTTCCTCGCCGTTCTCCTCGGCGGTGGGGGGCTCTTCATGCACCGTCGGGGGGATACAGCTCCCGTCGGAGCTCCGCCTGGACAGACACAGGGACATCGGGAACCCAGGCGTCCTGGCTCCCAACCCTCCTGCTCTAACCACCAGACCCCCTCCCCTCACCACCACCACATACAGCCGGGGAGAGAACCCAGGCGTCCTGGCTCCCAGCCCTCCTCTGCTCTAACCACCAGCCCCCACTCCCCCTGCTAGAGCCGGGGAGAGAACCCAGGCGTCCTGGCTCCCCCCCCACACTCCACTCCCAGAGCTCGGGGGAGAACCCCGGCATCCAGTACCTGCTCATGCGGCGCCTGCTGGGGATGTGGGGTAGCTCGGGCAGCTCCTCCTGCCCCCCTCGTTCTCCTCGTAGCTGTGGAGGCCGTTGGGGGTCCTGACCAGACTGGCAGAGGAGGGGCGCCGGGACCCCAGTAGCCCGTTGGCCAGGGTCTCCCCACCCCGCTCGGCCTGGGCGGAGACGGGCGCCGTGGGTCGGTGGTCGGGGCTGCTGCCAAGCAATCCCTCTGGGGTCTGTGGGAACACAGCAGGGAGGAGTTACCTGGGGGTGGGGGGCACTCAGGAGGTGGGGGCTTAGCCACAGGAAAGGGGCACTTGGGGACACCTGGGGGGCTAGGCCGATGGGGGTGGTACCAGGAGCCGTGGTGGGAGGGGAAAGCGGGTGCTGGGGGGTGACGGGGGTGCTGGGAGGGGGGCAGTTGGGGGGGTCCTCACCTGGCACGTCAGCTGCTCCTCCTCACACAGGGTCTCCCCGGCCACCTCCTCCCCGTCCTCCAGGTCGCAGGACAGCGCCCGGCGCATCTCAGGGCCCAGGTCCTGCAGGGTCTGCAGCCCGGCCTGGGGGGAGAACTGAGTCGTGGGGCGGCTGCTGGTGTCCCCCCTGCCATCCCATCCCCAGCCGGCCCGGTGTCTCCCCAGCCCCGCGCCACCCCCAGCTGGCCCGGTGTCCCCCCCCACCCCGCCCCGCCCCCAGCCGGCTCAGTGTCCCTGGGGGGGGGGGGGTCTCACCTGCAGGGCCGTGGAGTTGCTGGGGGAGGCGTCTGGCCCCAGAAGCCCCTTTTCCTTCCGCTTCCGGAACTTCCGGAAATAATCCTGGATCAGGAACGTGGCGTAAAACTTCCCCACCGTGACCTCCTCCTCTGCGGGGCGAGAGAGGGCCGTCAGGACGCCTGGGTTCTCTCCCAGCTCTGGGAGGGGAGTGGGGTCTGGTGGGTTATAGTCGGGGGGGGGTGTTGGGAGCCAGGACTCCTGGGTTCTCTCCTGGCTCTGGGAGGGGAGTGGGGTCTGGTGGTTAGAGCGGGGGGAGCTGGGAGCCAGGATGCCTGGGTTCTCTCCCCGGCTGTATGCGGTGGGTGTTTCTCACCTTCTGGCGGGGGTATCACCTCGTCCAGGAGTTTGGGCTTCGTTCTCTTCCAGATCTTCTTGATGACGGCCCGGAGCTCTTTGTTGGCTTGGTCCAAGTTGCCTAGTGGGGGTGACATGGGAGGCCAGGCACCATGAGCTACAGGTCAGGGACTCACTTGAGGCACTTTGGCCTTTGGCGGGACCCGTCTCCCCTAGCTAAGCGGGGAGAGCGTGAGGCATCATGGGAGTTGTAACTGGGTCAGGAGAATGGGGTGGAGGGGTTGGAATGAGGCAAAAAAGAACTACAATTCCCACAATGGCCCTGAACTACCATTCCCATGATGCCTTGCAGTGCCTCTTCCGGAGGCTGCGCTGTGGTGCATCCTGGGAGATGTAGTCCTGCTGGGAGCCCAGCTCATAGAGAACAGGGAGTGAGAGGCACCAAACTACAATTCCCATGATGCCTTGCAGTGACTCTCCACTCCGGGTTTTTTGGTGGACAACTCTTGCTGGTGGCTGCACTGACAGTTTTTCCTAAAATCTTCCTCAATGGTAGGAAACACAAATAAATGTGCACATGTCCCCGTCCACAGCAATGCAAGGTATTTGTGTAGGGTTTTTTTGCAGACTCGATAACGACAATAACGTACAGTCGTCTCTCTCTGCTACTGGCCCCACATGCGATAGAAACACAAATAAGGCGCTTTAGACTTACTGGCGAGTACGTCTGCTCCTGTGAAACGTGAGATTTGTATGTTTGTTAATATCACTTTTCCCAGCCCCGGAAAGCTGGGGGACAAATGAAGCCCGAGGTGGGGAGGGCCCAGAGCGATGGGAGGCTGGAAGAGGCAGGGGGGTTGGGGTGATGGGGACTGAGCCCGGGGCTGGAGCCCGAAGCCTGAGCCCCACCACCTCTAGGAAGGTAGGGAACCCACGGGATGGGCCGCTGCTTTTGCCCCCACCCCCCATCACCACCCAGAAGGCTGCGGCTGCAAGAAAAGCCCCTGGTGGCCACTCTTGGGAGAGGTAGACCGTGGTGCATCATGGGAGATGTAGTCCACCCACCCGCCCGGCCCACGGAGGAGAATGGGAGGAGGGAGGGAGCTGAACTACAACTCCCTTGATGCTCCCTTGCAGTATTTTGTGGCTCAATCGTTCTCCAAAAAGATTATTTTTCCCAGAGGACTTGGGGGAGATTCCAGTCCCCGTCCCCGCCCCCCGCAGCTCCAGTTAACCCTTTGCCCCCCAGCATGTCCAGCCCCCATCGACTCCAGTTGTGTACGGACCCAGAGACACCAGGGTCTATGAGTCACCCCACAGCGCTCGCTTGAGCCCCCCTCTCCCCAAGCCAGTCCAAGCCCAGAGACACCAGCCCCCCCACAGGCCCAACTGTACCCCCACCCCACACCCCCGGGGTTCACCTTCGGTCTTGATCTTGAGCGAGGTGCGGACCAGGGCGAAGAGGGTGGCGTTAAAGGTGACGGTGCCGTCTGCGTTGAGGGGCATGTTCATGGCCACCAGCCTCTGCGAAGAGAGGAAGGATAGAACCCAGGCGTCCGAGCTCCCAGCCCCCCCTGCTCTAACCACCAGATCCCCCTCCACTCCCAGAGCCGGGAGAGAACCCAGGCGTCCGAGCTCCCAGCCCCCCCTGCTCTAACCACCAGATCCCCCTCCACTCCCAGAGCCGGGAGAGAACCCAGGTGTCTGAGCTCCCAGCCCCCCCTGCTCTAACCACCAGATCCCCCTCCACTCCCAGAGCCGGGAGAGAACCCAGGCGTCCGAGCTCCCAGCCAATCCTCACACTACTCTAACCAGTAGTCCCCATTCCCCTCCCAGAGCTGGGGAGAGAACCCTGGCATCTGGGTTCCCAGCCAACCCCCCCCACTCTAATCACTAGCCCCACTCTCCTCCCAGAGGCAGGGAGAGAACCCAGGAGTCCTGGCCCACCCTGTACTAACCACCAGATCCCACTCCACTCCCCTCCCCTTCCAGAGCCAGGGAGAGAACCCAGGCGTCCTGACCTTACAGGCCACACGGTGCGGGCAGAGCTTCCCAAAGCCGAGGGGCGGCTGGATCCGGCGCAGCAGGGTCACGACGTCCAAGTGTTTAATGCGGCCTCTGGGGAAAGAAATGGGGTGGGCGGAAGGTGTGGGGAGCTGTGGGAAACATGGGGGTCTGCTGCCCCTGGTGGTGGATAGGGGAATGGCAAGGGGGGATAGAGCTGGGGAGGTCTGTGAGCATGGTAGGGGGGCTGTGGGTCCCAGAGGAACTGAGGGTGTGGGGGACCTGGGAGGATTGGGGGTTGTGGGGGGTCTCAGGGGAATTGGGGGTTGTGGGGAGTGTCATGGGGTCCCCGGGCGATGCTCTGGACCTGCTCCCGGCAAAGCCGGGCAGGACACTGGGGACCCTCCTCTCCTGGTGCCGACTGTCCCCAGGGCAAGACGCTCCCAGCTTCCACCTTCCTGGGTCCGACCCCTGGAGCCTCCAGCCTCCCCTGCCCCACTGTGTGCTTCCCGCAGCGCGTCCCCCCGGGCGTAGGGCAGAGCTTGTTAGCACAGAAATCAGAGACTTTCAGCCAAGTCCATCTTGGGGAGTCCTGGGCCAGACGCCCTGGACTCCCCCCTCCAGTCCCCCCCTCAGACCCCCAGCCTCCAGCCCCCCGACCTGCGACACCCCCCTTTATGCCCCTCCTCCTCTTTGTCTCCCTCCGGGCCAAAGGTGTCATCTGGTCGCAGCCCCTCCTGGGTCTCAGGTTACACAGGTGCAGACACCTGGGCAGCCTCACCTGCCCCAGGGCCCCAGCAAAATCACACCCCCAATTCCCACCACCCAAGCTGTGACGAAGTCGGACTGTTCTTAATGTTTCCTCTGAATAGTGGGGGGGTGCCTCAGTTTCCCCTAGGCAGTTCTTTCCCCTAGGCAGTTCTTAAGTATCTAGGGGGTGGGGTAAGGGTGTATGATCATTGCAGAGCCCTAGAGGGCAGGTGTGTGCAGGAGTCTGGACACAGAGAATGGCCGACACCCTGTTTCCTGGCCACTGATGGCCTGGGCCCTTCCCCCCCTGCAAGGTGAGAGCTGAAGGGTTGGAGAACAAAGGAATCCGGTGACCTCCTGGCCCGGGAAAGGGACAAAGCCCAGAGGAGGAGGGGCTGGAGGGAGTTTCAGTTTGGGGCTGGCTGGGACATGGAGTGAAGTGCAGACGTGGTTGTCTGGCTCACTGCCCCCCAAAATGGACCCAGCTGAGGGGTCCCGTTCTCTGCACCTGCAAGCTCTGTTTTAGACCATGTTCCTGTCGTCTAATAAACCTTCTGTTTTACTGGCTGGCTGAGAGTCACGTCTGACTGCGAAGTTGGGGGGCAGGACCCTCTGGCTTCCCCAGGAGCCCTGCCTGAGCGGACTCACTGGGGGAAAGTGCACGGAGGGGCAGAGGATGCTGAATGCTCCGAGGTCAGACCCAGGAAGGTGGAAGCTGTGTGTCCTGAAGACAGGCTGCTCACAGAAAGGCGACTACCCCAGAGTCCTGACTGACTTCATGGGGAGCAGTTCCAGAGCATCGCCCAGGGACTCTGTGACAACTGGTGGCAGCGGTGGGATGTACTGCACCCCGTGGATGGCGCTTCCTGCAGTAAGTGACTGGGGAGCAGTAACACGAAGGGGGATTGCCGAGGACCAGGCCTGCTGAAGGCTCAGAAAGGAGCGGTTTCGGGGGGCGGTTAACCCCTGGGAGTGTGTGACCAGCGAGAAGGACTGTGCAGTAATGGGGTCCCCCTGGGGACTGCAGTGAGCAGTCTCAGGGGCGGAGGAGTCTGCAGCTCGACCCTGGCAAAGAGGTGGTGACCTTGAGAAGGGCTGGCACACTAGGGGTTCTCCCTGGAAACCGTGGGGAGCTGAGAACACACGGGCCTGTGAGTCCACAACAACTTGGGAGGAGCGGAGTGATGGCCTGTCACTGTCTCCTTAAGAAGGACATTGTAACCCTGTGCAAAAAGAGAGGGTTGAGCGTTGGAAAGTTCACCAAAGCAGAGTTAATCGTGCAGCTGGAGGAGGATGACTGCTCTAAGGAATCAGAGGAACAGCCGTGTTAGTCTGTATTCGCAAAAAGAAAAGGAGTACTTGTGGCACCTTAGAGACTAACCAATTTATTTGAGCATGAGCTTTCGTGAGCTACAGCTCACTTCATCAGATGTTTACCGTGGAAACTGCAGCAGACTTTATATACACACAGAGAATATGAAACAATACCTCCTCCCACCCCACTGTCCTGCTGGTAATAGCTTATCTAAAGTGATCAACAGGTGGGCCATTTCCAGCACAAATCCAGGTTTTCTCACCCTCCACCCCCCCACACAAATTCACTCTCCTGCTGGTGCTAGCCCATCCAAAGTGACAACTCTTTACATAGTCAAGTCGGGCTATTTCCTGCATAGATCCAGGTTTTCTCACATCCCCCCCACCCCCATACACACACAAACTCACTCTCCTGCTGCTAATAGCTCATCTAAACTGACCACTCTCCAAGTTTAAATCCAAGTTAAACCAGAACATCTGGGGGGGGGGGGGGTAGGAAAAAACAAGAGGAAACAGGCTACCTTGCATAATGACTTAGCCACTCCCAGTCTCTATTTAAGCCTAAATTAATAGTATCCAATTTGCAAATGAATTCCAATTCAGCAGTTTCTCGCTGGAGTCTGGATTTGAAGTTTTTTTGTTTTAAGATAGCGACCTTCATGTCTGTGATTGCGTGACCAGAGAGATTGAAGTGTTCTCCGACTGGTTTATGAATGTTATAATTCTTGACATCTGATTTGTGTCCATTTATTCTTTTACGTAGAGACTGTCCAGTTTGACCAATGTACATGGCAGAGGGGCATTGCTGGCACATGATGGCATATATCACATTGGTGGATGTGCAGGTGAACGAGCCTCTGATCGTGTGGCTGATGTTATTAGGCCCTGTGATGGTGTCCCCTGAATAGATATGTGGGCACAATTGGCAACGGGCTTTGTTGCAAGGATAAGTTCCTGGGTTAGTGGTTCTGTTGTGTGGTATGTGGTTGTTGGTGAGTATTTGCTTCAGATTGCGGGGCTGTCTGTAGGCAAGGACTGGCCTGTCTCCCAAGACTTGTGAGAGTGTTGGGTCATCCTTTAGGATAGGTTGTAGATCCTTAATAATGCGTTGGAGGGGTTTTAGTTGGGGGCTGAAGGTGACCGCTAGTGGCGTCCTGTTATTTTCTTTGTTAGGCCTGTCCTGTAGTAGGTGACTTCTGGGAACTCTTCTGGCTCTATCAATCTGTTTCTTTACTTCTGCAGGTGGGTATTGTAGTTGTAAGAAAGCTTGACAGAGATCTTGTAGGTGTTTGTCTCTGTCTGAGGGGTTGGAGCAAATGCGGTTGTATCGCAGAGCTTGGCTGTAGACGATGGATCGTGTGGTGTGGTCAGGGTGAAAGCTGGAGGCATGCAGGTAGGAATAGCGGTCAGTAGGTTTCCGGTATAGGGTGGTGTTTATGTGGCCATCGTTTATTAGCACTGTAGTGTCCAGGAAGTGGATCTCTTGTGTGGACTGGACCAGGCTGAGGTTGGTGGTGGGATGGAAATTGTTGAAATCATGGTGGAATTCCTCAATGAATTCCTCAACGATGGCCACATAAACACCACCCTATACCGGAAACCTACTGACCGCTATTCCTACCTGCATGCCTCCAGCTTTCACCCTGACCACACCACACGATCCATCGTCTACAGCCAAGCTCTGCGATACAACCGCATTTGCTCCAACCCCTCAGACAGAGACAAACACCTACAAGATCTCTGTCAAGCTTTCTTACAACTACAATACCCACCTGCAGAAGTAAAGAAACAGATTGATAGAGCCAGAAGAGTTCCCAGAAGTCACCTACTACAGGACAGGCCTAACAAAGAAAATAACAGGACGCCACTAGCGGTCACCTTCAGCCCCCAACTAAAACCCCTCCAACGCATTATTAAGGATCTACAACCTATCCTAAAGGATGACCCAACACTCTCACAAGTCTTGGGAGACAGGCCAGTCCTTGCCTACAGACAGCCCCGCAATCTGAAGCAAATACTCACCAACAACCACATACCACACAACAGAACCACTAACCCAGGAACTTATCCTTGCAACAAAGCCCGTTGCCAATTGTGCCCACATATCTATTCAGGGGACACCATCACAGGGCCTAATAACATCAGCCACACTATCAGAGGCTCGTTCACCTGCACATCCACCAATGTGATATATGCCATCATGTGCCAGCAATGCCCCTCTGCCATGTACATTGGTCAAACTGGACAGTCTCTACGTAAAAGAATAAATGGACACAAATCAGATGTCAAGAATTATAACATTCATAAACCAGTCGGAGAACACTTCAATCTCTCTGGTCACGCAATCACAGACATGAAGGTCGCTATCTTAAAACAAAAAAACTTCAAATCCAGACTCCAGCGAGAAACTGCTGAATTGGAATTCATTTGCAAATTGGATACTATTAATTTAGGCTTAAATAGAGACTGGGAGTGGCTAAGTCATTATGCAAGGTAGCCTGTTTCCTCTTGTTTTTTCCTACCCCCCCCCCCCAGATGTTCTGGTTTAACTTGGATTTAAACTTGGAGAGTGGTCAGTTTAGATGAGCTATTAGCAGCAGGAGAGTGAGTTTGTGTGTGTATGGGGGTGGGGGGGATGTGAGAAAACCTGGATCTATGCAGGAAATAGCCCGACTTGACTATGTAAAGAGTTGTCACTTTGGATGGGCTAGCACCAGCAGGAGAGTGAATTTGTGTGGGGGGGTGGAGGGTGAGAAAACCTGGATTTGTGCTGGAAATGGCCCACCTGTTGATCACTTTAGATAAGCTATTACCAGCAGGACAGTGGGGTGGGAGGAGGTTTTGTTTCATGGTCTCTGTGTGTATATAAAGTCTGCTGCAGTTTCCACGGTAAACATCTGATGAAGTGAGCTGTAGCTCACGAAAGCTCATGCTCAAATAAATTGGTTAGTCTCTAAGGTGCCACAAGTACTCCTTTTCTTTTTGCTCTAAGGAACAGATTCCTGACCCCAACTGGGGCTATATCAGGATCTGGGAGCAGCTGGAGCGGGAGCCAGGCATCGCCAAGACTCCTGTCCCCGACCAGACGAGGGTCTTCACGATCGGGTTCCCCATCGGGGGATCGAGACGGACGGGATTGGAGCTGAGTCTGAGAGAGCAAGAGGACTGTGGGAGACAGCGAGAGCCCGAGAAAGAGCTGCAGAAGCAGCAGCAGCATGAACTGGCGGTGGTGGGGCGGAGAGGCCGAGGGGACCTCCCCGGGGTGAGTGGGGATAGATCCCGGGGGGCCAGTTCCGCAGGGAACCTCGAGACTAAATTGCTGCCCCTGGTTAAGGAGGGGGGATGTGGATGCCCACCTCACTGCCTTTGAGCAGGCTGGAGATTTGAACCAAGGGGACCCTGCAGAAAAGCCCCGGTGTCTAGCTCCCTTGCTGGGTCCCAAGGCCACAGACTCCGTCAGCCCGATGGGTGGGGAGGTGGACAGGCTCCCACTCCTGACCCCAACCTGTATGTCGGTGTGGAGTTTCCTGGGGCCAGGCCCCTCGGACCTCCAGTGGGAGCAGAAGGTGATGGTCAATGGGGAGACATTCCTGGGGTGGCCAAAGGGCATGGGCTGCATAAACCTTCCCACATGCGGCCTGCGAGTGCTATCGACCACCCCTGACCTAAGGGAGGGCGTGAAACTGGAAGGGCCTGGTGTAACTCCTACCAAGGAATGGGAGAGATGCTGGGGCATCCATGGGAACGTTGGTGGCTTCGAACTTCCCCAGGTCACCGGCTAAAGTGACCCCGCTCAGTTCGATCTCGAAGGGGGGAGAGATGTGACGAAGTGGGACTGTTCTTAATGTTTCCTCTGAATAGTGTGGGGGTGCCTCAGTTTCCCCTAGGCAGTTCTTAAGTATCTAGGGGGTGGAGTAAGGGTGTATGATCATTGCAGAGCCCTAGAGGGCAGGTGTGTGCAGGAGTCTGGACACAGAGAATGGCCGACACCCTGTTTCCTGGCAACTGATGGCCTGGGCCCTTCCCCCCTGCAAGGTGAGAGCTGAAGGGTTGGAGAACAAAGGAATCAGGTGACCACCTGGCCCGGGAAAGGAACAAAGCCCAGAGGAGGAGGGGCTGGAGGGGTTTTCAGTTTGGGGCTGGCTGGGGACATGGAGTGAAGTGCAGACGTGGTTGTCTGGCTCACTGCCCCCCAAAATGGACCCAGCTGAGGGGTCCCGTTCTCTGCACCTGCAAGCTCTGTGTTAGACCATGTTCCTGTCGTCTAATAAACCTTCTGTTTTACTGGCTGGCTGAGAGTCACGTCTGACTGCGAAGTTGGGGGGCAGGACCCTCTGGCTTCCCCAGGACCCCGCCTGAGCGGACTCGCTGTGGGGAAGCGCACGGAGGGGCAGAGGATGCTGAATGCTCCGAGGTCAGACCCAGGAAGGTGGAAGCTGTGTGAGCTGCGTGTCCTGAAGACAGGCTGCTCACAGAAAGGCGACTGCCCCAGAGTCCTGACTGGCTTCATGGGGAGCAGTTCCAGAGCATTGCCCAGGGACTCCGTGACACAAGCATTGGTGCAGCACGCAGGGAAACTGAGGCACACACAGTATTAATATAGGCCAGTAAGACTCACATGCAACATAATAAGATGAATAAAACCCCACTCATCACAGGGGAATTGGGGGTGTGGGGGTCCTGGGGGAATGAGGAGTTTGGGGGCCTGGGGAAGTCAGGGGGATGGGAGTCCCAAGGGAATTGGCGGTTGTGGGGGTCCCAGGGGAGTCAGGGGATTGGGGGTGTGACGAAGTTGGGGATTTTTGTCGTGTTTTACATGAATAGCATGTGTGCGCCTCAGTTTCCCTGTGTGCTGCATGTTTGACAAGCTGGTGGGAGAGGGGTGGTTGTTGCAGAGGACCAGGTGTGACCTTGCCTAGCAGCCGGGACCCCCGGACAATGGCCTGGAGATGGGGAACCCCAACAACTGGTGACCTGGAGACTCAGAGGCCACCCCAGCTTGGCAGTCAACTGGTTCCAGCCAGAGGGGCCAGAGGACAGAGGAGAGGAGGGAGGCCCAAGCAACCTGTTTACCTGGAGAGAAGACAATGGACAGAGGGGGGGCTTGGGGCCGGTGATAGCAGATGCCCAGCGGGGAAGCAGGGGGGCTCAGGACTGGGGGGAGGGAGCAGCTGGAGCCCCCTGGATGCAGGGGAGACTGGGATGTGTTGGGCTGAGGGGGGCCAGGCCTGAGGCCAGAGAGTTTCCTATGCTGGGTTCAGACGCTCACTAAACCCTCCTGCTTTATGCCGGCTGAGTCGCTCCGGGCTAGAGACCAGGGGGCCTTATTCCTTCCGGGGGTGGGGAGCTCGGCGGGGGGCCTTATTCCCTCCGGGGGTGGGGAGCTCGGCGGGGGGCCTTATTCCCTCTGGGGGTGGGAAGACCAGGGGGGGCATTATTCCCTCTGGGGGTGGGAGCTCGGGGGGGGGGCTCATTCCCTCTGGGGGTGGGAAGACCAGGGGGGGCATTATTCCCTCTGGGGGTGGAGGCCCCAGGGCTCCAGAGCGAGGGGACTCCCTGAGGGGCCCACGGCAGAGACAGGCATGCTAAGGGTCAGAGAGGTGCAGTTCCAGGAGGCGGGGGGCTGGACCCCCGAGAAGGGCTGTCGCGCTGATGGCTGCTCACAGAAAGGCGACTGCCCCAGAGTCCTGACTGGCTTCATGGGGAGCAGTTCCAGAGCAACGCCCAGGGACTCCGTGACAGGGCTCCCCCGAGGGACCGCACGGGCCAAGAGTGGGCACGACCAGTGAGTCCGTGACAGGGGTCCCAGGGGAATTGGGGGTGTGGGGAGCTGGGGGAATTGAAGGGCTGGGGATCCCATACAGTTTGGGGGGCCCAAGGGAATTGGGAGGTTGGGGGTTCCAGGGGGTTTGGGGAGATCTGGGGGAGCCATTGAGGGTTTGGGGGGTGGGGCTCTTACTTGGCGGTGGGGTCGTACTCAGACCAGATGCGTTTGAACTCGTCCAGGTGGTGGGGGCCCAGGATGGACCAGTCCCGGGTCAGGTAGTCAAAATTGTCCATGATCACAGCCACAAAGAGGTTAATGATCTGGGGGGGCAGAGGTCAAGCAGTGAAAAGATGGGGGGCAGGGTCTCCATGTGGGGGACACCTTGTGCCATGCAGCATAGGGGGCACTGGGGGATTATGGCAGATGGAGAGGTCCCCAAGGGGCAGGGGGGCAAATGACCCCCAGGAAGGGGGCATAGCAGAGCTGGGGGGCCGGGAGCCCTGAGGGGGGCTAGTGCCCATGGAACATGGGGGACCCTGGGGGCTCTGGCGGATGGCGAGGGGGGTCCCATAGTGGAGGCGGGGTCCCACGGGGGGTACAGGGGCTCTGGCGGATGGAGGGAGGCGGGGGTCTCTCGGGGGGTACACGGGCTCTGGCGGGTGGCGGGGGGTCCCTCGGGGAGTACAGGGGCTCTGGCGGGTGGCGGGGGGTCCCACCGGGGGTACAGGGGCTCTGGCGGGTGGCGGGGATCCCACGGGGGGCGGGGTCCTGCAGCGGGGGCCCCGGGGGGGCTCACCAGGAAGGCACAGAGCATGAAGAAGCTGATGAAGTAGACGATGGCGAAGTGGCTCCCGCAGGTGAATTCCTCGCCGGGCCCCACGTCCGACTCGGGGTCGCAGCGTTTCCCGGGCAGGCTGGCCAGCATGATCTCCTGCCAGGCCTCCCCGGTGGCGCACCTGGGGGGCCAGGGGGGTCAGCTGGCCCCCTCTAGCATCCTGCCCAGCCCCATGGCACCTGGTCCTGCCCATGTCACCTCCCAAAACCCAGCCCCACAGTGGCACTCGGCCCCCCGGCACCCAGTCCCGCCCAGCCCCATGGCTCCCCCCGCCCCGCCCCAGGGTGGGGAGTTGGGGAGATGGTGGAGCCCCGGGGGGGAGTGGGGGCATCGGGGGCCCCCAGGGGGAGTTGGGGGAACGGTGGAGCCCTGGGGGGAAGTTGGGATATTGGGGGCCCCCGGGAGGAAAGGGGGGATGGCGGGGGGGGCCCGGTACCTGAAGAGCAGCAGCACGGCCTGGGGGAACGTCTGGAAGTTGTTGTTACGGTTGATCTGCGTCCCGTCCTGCATCGCCACTTTGCCGAAGGTCTGAAACCCCCCGGGACGTCAGCAGGGGTGGGGCACCCCAAAAGGGACCCCTTGCCCCCCCAGCGCCCCGCCACCCCCACCCTTCCTGCCCCCGCGTGCCAGGCAGAGACACATGTGCGATGCACAGCTGGAGCCCTATGCGCATGGTGCATGTGGAGACACACGCGTGTGTGTGTTGCACACTCAGGGGCTGCACAGGGGTGTGCACTGCACACTTGGGACCTGCACGGGGGTGTTGCACGCCTGGGATCTTTATGCACAAGCATCCCTGGGCTTGCTTGCGATAGTTACTAGTGTGGCCCAGAACCGGGTGTGCGAGGCACACGCCAGCTTGCAGAGGCAGACACAGCACAATGTGCGTGGGCCAGAGGTACCCTCTGGTGCATGTCGCACAATCAGAGCCATGCACGAGGGTGTGACACATGCTCAGGACTGGGCTGCAGACACAGGGTGTGCGCAAGTGTGTAACGTGTGCTCCAGCATCCCTTGCTCGGTCCTAGCCTTGCACAAATGTGCCGCATGTGGTTTGGTGTGTTGCATGCTCAGGGCCACGCACAAGGGTGCATGTTGCACATGCAGGCAGTGTGTTGCACGCTTGCCGGCTTGCACAAGTGCAAGACCCACACTCAGGCATGTCTCAGAGGCACCCTCAGCAGTTCACGCTTGTGGGGGCGTGCAAGGACAGTGCACTAGTGTGTGCATTGCACATGCACAGCCGTGCAAGGCTCCTCCCCCGCTCACCTGCATGCCAATGACAGCGTAGATGAAGAAGATCATGGCGATCAGCAGGGCGACGTAGGGCAGGGCCTGTGGAGAGACACGGGGGGGGGGTCAGAATATGGTGGGGTCACAACCCCCCCTTCCAGCCCCACCCCCCTGTACGGCTGACTCCACCAGGGGTGCTCCCAGTATGTCCCGCTCCAGCCCTCCCTGGCGCCCAGCATGCATTGCTCCGTCTGGGCTGCCCCATGGGTGCCACGCAGTGCATGCTGGGAAGGGTGTACCCCCATAACCCCCAGGTGTATCCCCCATCCCCTCATGTGTACACCCCATCCCCCCATGGGTGTACCCCCTCATTCCCCCCCAATGTACCCCCATAACCCCCAGGTGTATCCCCCATCCCCTCATGTGTACACCCCATCCCCCCATGGGTGTACCCTCTCATTCCCCCCCAATGTACCCTGTGACGAAGTGGGACTGTTCTTAATGTTTCCTCTGAATAGTGGGGGGGTGCCTCAGTTTCCCCTAGGCAGTTCTTAAGTATCTAGGTGGTGGGGTAAGGGTGTATGATCATTGCAGAGCCCTAGAGGGCAGGTGTGTGCAGGAGTCTGGACACAGAGAATGGCCGACACCCTGTTTCCTGGCCACTGATGGCCTGGGCCCTTCCCCCTGCCAGGTGAGAGCTGAAGGGCTGGAGAACAAAGGGATTCGGTGACCTCCTGGCCCGGGAAAGGAACAAAGCCCAGAGCAGGGGGGGGGCTGGAGGGAGTTTCAGTTTGGGGCTGGCTGGGACATGGAGTGAAGGGCAGACGTGGTTGTCTGGCTCACTGCCCCCCAAAATGGACCCAGCTGAGGGGTCCTGTTCTCTGTACCTACAAGCTCTGTTTTAGACCCTGTTCCTGTCGTCTAATAAACCTTCTGTGTTACTGGCTGGCTGAGAGTCACGTCTGACTGCGGAGTTGGGGGGCAGGACCCTCTGGCCCCCCCAGGACCCTGCCTGAGCGGGCTGAGAGTCACGTCTGACTGCGGAGTTGGGGGGCAGGACCCTCTGGCTTCCCCAGGACCCCGCCTGAGCGGACTCGCTGGGGGAAGCGCACGGAGGGGCAGAGGATGCTGAATGCTCCGAGGTCAGACCCAGGAAGGTGGAAGCCGGGTGAGCTGTGTGTCCTGAAGACAGGCTGCTCCCAGAAAGGCGACTGCCCCAGAGTCCTGACTGGCTTCATGGGGAGCAGTTCCAGAGCATCGCCCAGGGACTCCGTGACATACCCCCATAGCCCCCTGGGTGTATCCCCCATCCCCCCATGGGTGTAACCCCATCTCCCCCCAGGTATACCCTCATAACCCCCTGGGTGTACCCCCCATCCCACCATGGGTGTAACCCTCATCCCCCTGGGTGTACCCCTATAACCTCCCGGATGTACATCCCTCATCCCTGTGACGAAGTGGGAATGGTCTTAATGTTTTCTCTCAATACTTTGTGTGTGCCTCAGTTTCCCCTCCGTGTTACTCAAGCACCTAGGTGGGGGGATGAATGTGTGTGATTGGTGCAGCAACCCTAGAGGGCAGGTGTGACCCAAGTGGCCACCTGGGCCTGAACAGTGGCCAACACCCTATCTCCTCCTCCTCGGCAAGGACCAGCCGCAGGTGCTGGTGCAGCCCAGGTGACCTGCTGGCCTGGGAGAAGGAGGGGAACAGGCAGGTCTGGGGACAGGCAGTCTCCGGATTGGGTCTCGGGGAGGGGGGGTCAGGGGCACCAGGCCCGGGGTCCCCCCAGACGGACTTTGCTGAAAGTTCCTGCTCCTGGTGCTAACGAGCTCGGCTCTACGCCGACCAGTAACCCGGCTGCGTCCCCCGCGGGCTGTGGAGTAGGGCCAGGGCCCCACCGGTGAGAACAGGGGGCTGGGGAGGGACACCCCCTCAGCCCTGCCTGGGGGCCCCCCGCCCCCCGAGGCCGCTGTCCCACCTGGAAGGACTTGATGAAGGTCCAGAGCAGGGTGCGAATCCCTTCGCCTTTGCTGAGCAGCTTGACCAGGCGCATGACGCGGAAGAGGCGGAAGAAGGTGATGGAGATGCGGGAGCTGTCCTCCGAGCTCTGCGGGGCAGGGGGCGGGGGGGTCACGGTGCCCCACGGCAGCCCCCGCGCCAGGCCCCACGGCTCACCCCAACTCCCTCCGACACCCCCCTGTACCCCCCACCTCGTCCACCTCCAGAGTCTCGTCTGGCTCTGGCCCCCGTCCCCCAGCCCGGGGGGGGATCCAGGGCGTTACCTCGCCAACGTGGCCGCCGTTCTAGCGGGGGGCCGGGAGTTGTGATGATGACAATGAGGAGGAGACGGAGGATGAAGCCATGAGACCCCGACGTCCGCCGGGAAACAACCATGGGAGAGATGAGAGACAGACACCGACGTGGGTGGACGGACGGATGGACGGGGTGTGTGGGACAGACGGATGGGGGTATGTGTGGGGGGGACAGACAGACAGAGGATGGGTGTGTGGGGACTGCGGGGGGGTATTTCTCGAGCATGTTCCACCCCCATGGATTCCCATTTTATACCCGGACCCTTGGCCTGGCGCTGCGACACGCAGCCCCCTGGGGCAGGGCGCGGGGGCCGGACACGCGGGGACCCCCCCGGGGCGGGGGGCGGGGGCCGGTCACGCGGGGACCCCCCCGGGGCGGGGGGCGGGGGCCGGACACGCGGGGACCCCCCGGGGCCGGGGGCCGGACACGCGGGGACCCCCCCGGGGCGGGGCGCGGGGGCCGGTCACGCGGGGACCCCCCCGGGGCGGGGCGCGGGGGCCGGTCACGCGGGGACCCCCCCGGGGCGGGGAGCGGGGGCCGGTCACGCGGGGACCCCTCCGGGGCGGGGCGCGGGGGCTGGTCACGCGGGGACCCCCCCGGGGCGGGGAGCGGGGGCCGGACACGCGGGGACCCCCCCGGGGCGGGGGCCGGTCACGCGGGGACCCCCCCGGGGCAGGGGGCGGGGGCCGGTCACGCGGGGACCCCCCCGGGGCGGGGAGCGGGGGCCGGTCACGCGGGGACCCCCCCGGGGCGGGGCGCGGGGGCCGGTCACGCGGGGACCCCCCCGGGGCGGGGCGCGGGGGCTGGTCACGCAGGGACCCCCTGGGGCCGGGGCGCGGGGGCCGGTCACGCAGGCACCCACCTGGGGCGGGGAGCGGGGGCTGGTCATGGCGTGACCCCCCTGGAGCAGGGGGCAGGGGCTAGTCACGTGGGGTATCTCTGGGGCAGGGCTCGGGGGCCCTTCGCATGGGGACCTGTTCAGGGACGGGGCACAGGGCCCTTCGCACGGGGACCCCTCCGGGTCAGAGCACGGGAGCTGATTCCCCCACTCCCCATGCCCCCCATTTCCCCACCCTCCAGCTCCCCTGGGACCTGCCAGCTTCCTCTCACTTTCCCCAGCCCCACATGGTGTGGCCCGGACACTGGGGTCCCGGCCCCAGATTTGGGGAAGGGGGGGCACTTACATTGACCTCGGTGACGGCGATGTCCACCACGCTGCCCACCACGATCAGCGCGTCGAAGGTGTTCCAGGCGTCACAGAAATAGTGCTGGGAACGGGGCGGGGGGTCAGCCGTGGGGTGCATGTCCCACCCCGCCCACAGCTTGCCAGACCCCGCCCCGTCACACAAGGCCCCACTCCCGTTGAGCCCGGCCCCACCCCCGTCATGCCCGCCCCGCCCCCTCACCCAAGGCCCCGCCCCCATGGTGACAGGCCCCACCCCCTCACCGCAGGCCCCGCCTACCCGGGGTTTGAAGGCGATGATCTTCAGCACCATCTCCACGGTGAAGAGGCCGGTGAAGACCATGTTGAGCAGGTCCATGACGTAGTTGAACGGCTGCGACTGCTCGTAGTGCTGGGGGGCGAGTGCAGGGTGAGGGGGGCCCGGCCCCACCCCCTACCCTGATGGAGAGACAAGCCCCGCCCCCAGACAGCCAGGCCCCGCCCCCTCCCCAGATAGCAGGACAGGCCCCTCCCCCACACAGCCAGGCCCCGCCCCTGCCCCAGGCCCCGCCCCCTCCCCAGATGGAAGGACAGGCCCCTCCCCCACACAGCCAGGCCCCACCCCCTACCCTGATGGAGAGACAAGCCCCGCCCCCAGACAGCCAGGCCCTGCCCCCTCCCCAGATGGCAGGACAGGCCCCTCCCCCACACAGCCAGGCCCCGCCCCCTCCCCAGATGGAAGGACAGGCCCCTCCCCCACACAGCCAGGCCCCATCCCCTACCCTGATGGAGAGACAAGCCCCGCCCCCAGACAGCCAGGCCCCGCCCCCTACCCTGATGGAGAGACAAGCCCCGCCCCCACACAGCCAGGCCCCGCCCAGGCCCCGCCCCAGGCAGCACCTGCACGGCCAGGGCGATGGTGTTGAGCAGGATGAGCAGGAACATGCCGTACTCGAAGGCCGAGCAGTTCACGGCCGCCCACACCCGGTGCTGGTGCCGATTCTTGGGGATGTAGCGCCGGAGCGGCTGGGCCTTCAACGCGTACTCCACACACTGCCGCTGGGGGGCGGGGGGACAGGGGGCGCTGAGCCGTGCCCCACACCCACCTCCCGGCCCCCCGCCCCTCCCAGCCCCTCCACACACTGCCGCTGGGGGGCGGGGGGACAGGGGGCGCTGAGCCGTGCCCCACACCCACCTCCCGGCCCCCCCGCCCCTCCCAGCCCCTCCACACACTGCCGCTGGGGGCGGGGGGACAGGGGGCGCTGAGCCGTGCCCCACACCCACCTCCCGGCCCCCCCGCCCCTCCCAGCCCCTCCACACACTGCCGCTGGGGGGCGGGGGGACAGGGGGCGCTGAGCCGTGCCCCACACCCACCTCCCGGCCCCCCCGCCCCTCCCAGCCCCTCCACACACTGCCGCTGGGGGGCGGGGGGACAGGGGGCGCTGAGCCGTGCCCCACACCCACCTCCCGGCCCCCCGCCCCTCCACACACTGCCGCTGGGGGGCGGGGGGACAGGGGGCGCTGAGCCGTGCCCCACACCCACCTCCCGGCCCCCCCGCCCCTCCCAGCCCCTCCACACACTGCCGCTGGGGGCGGGGGGGACAGGGGGCGCTGAGCCGTGCCCCACACCCACCTCCCGGCCCCCCCGCCCCTCCCAGCCCCTCCACACACTGCCGCTGGGGGGCGGGGGGACAGGGGGGCGCTGAGCCGAGCCCCACACCCACCTCCCGGCCCCCCCCCCCCCTCCCAGCCCCTCCACACACTGCCGCTGGGGGGCGGGGGGACAGGGGGCGCTGAGCCGTGCCCCACACCCACCTCCCGGCCCCCCGCCCCTCCCAGCCCCTCCACACACTGCCGCTGGGGGGCGGGGGGACAGGGGGGCGCTGAGCCGAGCCCCACACCCACCTCCCGGCCCCCCCGCCCCTCCCAGCCCCTCCACACACTGCCGCTGAGGGGGGATTAGGGGGCACCGGGACCGCCACTGCCCCCCACTGAGCCGTGTCCCATGTGACGAGGTGGGAATGTTCTTTGTTTTCTCTGAATACTGTAGGGGTGCCTCAGTTTCCCCTAGGCATTTCGTAAGGCTCTAGGGGTGGAATAAGGGGGTGTGATTGTTGCAGAGCAAAGGGCCAGGGTCCATAAATGGCGACACTCTGTCTCCTGGCCACTGATGGCCTGGACCCTTCCCCCTGCCAGGTGAGAGCTAAAGGGCTGGAGAACAAAGGGATCCGGTGCCCTCCTGGCCCGGGAAAGGGACAAAGCCCAGAGCAGGTGGGGCTGGAGGGAGTTTCAGTTTGGGGCTGGCTGGGACATGGAGTGAAGGGCAGACGGGGTGTCTGACTCACTGCCCCACAAAATGGACCCAGCTGAGGGGTCCTGTTCTCTGCACCTACAAGCTCTGTGTTAGACCCTGTTCCTGTCGTCTAATAAACCTTCTGTTTCCCCGGCTGGCTGAGAGTCCCGTCTGGCTGCGGAGTTGGGGGGCAGGACCCTCTGGCCCCCTCAGGACCCCGCCTGGGCGGACTGGCTGTGGGAAGCGCCCGGAGGGGCAGAGGAGGCTGGAGGCTCCGGGGTCAGACCCAGGAAGGGGGAAGCCGGGGGAGCTGTGTGTCCTGCAGACAGGCTGCTCCCCGAGAGGAGACTCCCCCAGAGCCCTGCCCGGCTTCGTGGGGAGCAGGCCCAGAGCATCGCCCAGGGACCCCGGGACGCTTGTCCAGCTCGCAGTTGCGGTACTCCCGCTCGCCCTGGGCGCGGAAGGCGATGGGGGGTTGGGGGAAGCTGGGGAGCCGGTTGGGGAGGTGGGGAAGGCTGTGGGGCAGGCCGTGGGGCAGGCTGGGGGGCGGTACCTAGTTCTTGTCCAGCTCGCAGTTGCGGTACTCCCGCTCGCCCTGGGCGCGGAAGGCGATGGGGGCTGGGGGAAGCTGGGGAGCCGGTTGGGGAGGTGGGGAAGGCTGTGGGGCAGGCCGTGGGGCAGGCTGGGGGCGGTACCTGGTTCTTGTCCAGCTCGCAGTTGCGGTACTCCCGCTCGCCCTGGGCGCGGAAGGCGATGGGGGCTGGGGGAAGCTGGGGAGCCGGTTGGGGGAGGTGGGGAAGGCTGTGGGGCAGGCCGTGGGGCAGGCTGGGGGGCGGTACCTGGTTCTTGTCCAGCTCGCAGTTGCGGTACTCCCGCTCGCCCTGGGCGCGGAAGGCGATGGGGGCTGGGGGAAGCTGGGGAGCCGGTTGGGGAGGTGGGGAAGGCTGTGGGGCAGGCCGTGGGGCAGGCTGGGGGGCGGTACCTGGTTCTTGTCCAGCTCGCAGTTGCGGTACTCCTGCTCACCCTGGGCGCGGAAGGCGATGGGGGCTGGGGGAAGCTGGGGAGCCGGTTGGGGAGGTGGGGAAGGCTGTGGGGCAGGCCGTGGGGCAGGCTGGGGGGCGGTACCTGGTTCTTGTCCAGCTCACAGTTGCGGTACTCCCGCTCACCCTGGGCACGGAAGGCGATGGGGGCTGGGGGAAGCTGGGGAGCCGGTTGGGGAGGTGGGGAAGGCTGTGGGGCAGGCCGTGGGGCAGGCTGGGGGGCGGTACCTGGTTCTTGTCCAGCTCGCAGTTGCGGTACTCCCGCTCGCCCTGGGCGCGGAAGGCGATGGGGGCTGGGGGAAGCTGGGGAGCCGGTTGGGGGAGGTGGGGAAGGCTGTGGGGCAGGCCGTGGGGCAGGCTGGGGGGCGGTACCTGGTTCTTGTCCAGCTCGCAGTTGCGGTACTCCCGCTCGCCCTGGGCGCGGAAGGCGATGGGGGCTGGGGGAAGCTGGGGAGCCGGTTGGGGAGGTGGGGAAGGCTGTGGGGCAGGCCGTGGGGCAGGCTGGGGGGCGGTACCTGGTTCTTGTCCAGCTCGCAGTTGCGGTACTCCTGCTCGCCCTGGGCGCGGAAGGTGATGATGACGAAGCCCACGAAGATGTTCATCATGAAGAAGGCGATGATGATGATGTAGACGATGAAGAAGACCGAGATCTCCACCCGGTAGTTGTAGATGGGGCCCTGGTTCTCCCCGTTGGCGTCGATCGCCTTGTACAGCAGGCTGGGGGCGGGGAGTGAGATGGGGACCCCCAGGAACCCCCCCAGCTCCCACCAGTCCCTGTCCCCCAGCCCCTGATCCCCTTCCAGCCCCCTCCCACTCCCCATGCCCCCCATCTCTGCACCCTCCAGCTCCCCCAGGCCCCCAGCCCCTGATTCCCTTCCATCCCCCTCCCCCCGTGCTCCCAGGCCCCCCATTTCCCCCCACTCTCCGTGCCCCCCATCTCCCCACTCTCCAGCTCCCCGGGACCTGCCAGCTCCCTCTCACTTTCCCCAGCCCCCCAACTCCCCCAATCCCTAGCCACCTGTCTCCGATCTCCCCCCAGCCCCCCATCTACCCCGATCCCCAGCCGCGGGTCTCCAATCTCCCCCCAGCCCCCATCTCCCCGGCCCCTGGGCGCACCTGGGCCAGCCCTCGAAGGTGGAGACGGTGAACAGGGCCATCATGCCGGACAGGACATTGTCAAAGTTGAAGTCGCTGTTGTGCCAGACCCTCTCGCGCACCATGGGGTGCCCCACGTCCCCGTCCTTGTACACAATGAACGTGCCCCTGGGGGGGTCAGGGGTCAGGGGACGGACCCTGACGCGCCAAACCCCAGCCTGGTCCCCCCGACAACCAGAGCCCCCAGCAGCCCCCGGCCTGAGCCCCGCCCCCTGGCCTGGTCCCCCCGACAACCAGAGACCCAGCAGCCCCCAATGGCCTGAGCCCCGCCCCCTGGCCTGGTCACCCCGACAACCTGAGCCCCCCCAGCCTGGTCACCCCAACAACCAGAGCCCCCAGCGCCCCACGACGGCCTGAGCCCCGCCCCCTGGCCTGGTCCCCCCGACAACCAGAGACCCAGCAGCCCCCGGCCTGAGCCCCGCCCCCCGGCCTGGTCACCCCGACAACCTGAGCCCCCCCAGCCTGGTCACCCCAACAACCAGAGCCCCCAGCGCCCCACGACGGCCTGAGCCCCGCCCCCTGGCCTGGTCACCCCAACAACCAGAGACCCAGCAGCCCCCGGCCTGAGCCCCGCCCCCCGGCCTGGTCACCCCGACAACCTGAGCCCCCCCCAGCCTGGTCACCCCAACAACCAGAGCCCCCAGCGCCCCACGACGGCCTGAGCCCCGCCCCCTGGCCTGGTCCCCCCGACAACCAGAGACCCAGCAGCCCCCGGCCTGAGCCCCGCCCCCCGGCCTGGTCACCCCGACAACCTGAGCCCCCCCAGCCTGGTCACCCCAACAACCAGAGCCCCCAGCGCCCCCACGACGGCCTGAGCCCCCGCCCCCTGGCCTGGTCCCCCCGACAACCAGAGACCCAGCAGCCCCCGGCCTGAGCCCCGCCCCCCGGCCTGGTCACCCCGACAACCTGAGCCCCCCCAGCCTGGTCACCCCAACAACCAGAGCCCCCAGCGCCCCACGACGGCCTGAGCCCCGCCCCCTGGCCTGGTCACCCCAACAACCAGAGACCCAGCAGCCCCCGGCCTGAGCCCCGCCCCCGGCCTGGTCACCCCGACAACCTGAGCCCCCCCAGCCTGGTCACCCCAACAACCAGAGCCCCCAGCGCCCCACGACGGCCTGAGCCCCGCCCCCTGGCCTGGTCCCCCCGACAACCAGAGACCCAGCAGCCCCCGGCCTGAGCCCCCCCCCCCGGCCTGGTCACCCCGACAACCTGAGCCCCCCCAGCCTGGTCACCCCAACAACCAGAGCCCCCAGCGCCCCACGACGGCCTGAGCCCCGCCCCCTGGCCTGGTCACCCCAACAACCAGAGACCCAGCAGCCCCCAATGGCCTGAGCCCCCCCAGCCTGGTCACCCCGACAACCAGAGCCCCCAGCACCCCACGACGGCCTGAGCCCCGCCCCCTGGCCTGGTCACCCCAACAACCAGAGCCCCCAGCACCCCCCGGCCTGAACCTCCCCTGGCCTGGTCCCCCCAACAACCAGAGCCCCAGCAGCCCGACAACCTGAGCCCCCCCCAGCCTGGTCACCCCGACAACCAGAGCCCCAGCACCCCCCTGGCCTGGCCCAACTTGTGCCAACAGCCCAACCCCCGGCCCCTAATCTCAGACCCCAAACTCTGACCCCCGGCCCAGCCCCCCAACCCCATCCCAGCAACCAGCCCCTGATCCCAGCCCCTACCCACGACCCCCTGACCCCGGAGGCGGCTGGTGGGGGGAGACAGGCGGGCGGGGGTCCCTGGCGGGGGTCCCTGGGGGGCAGAAGGAGCCGAGGGGGACGTACTTGCATTCCTCCGGCGTGTGCTTGGCCTCGTCCGTGCAGCTGTAGAATTTGCCCTAGGGAGAGCCATGGGGCTGGGTTCAGACCCCCCGCCGCCGCGAGCCCCACACCCCACGTTACCCCCCTCCGCTCCCCCGCCTCCTCCCGCCCCCACCAGCCCCACGTTACCCCCCCGCCCCTTGTTCCCCCGCCTCCTCCCGCCCCCACCAGCCCCACGTTACCCCCCCGCCCCTTGTTCCCCCGCCTCCTCCCGCCCCCACCAGCCCCACGTTACCCCCCCGCCCCTTGTTCCCCCGCCTCCTCCCGCCCCCACCAGCCCCACGATACCCCACTCTGCTCCCCCGCCTCCTCCCGCCCCCACCAGCCCCACGTTACCCCCTCTGCTCCCCCGCCTCCTCCCGCCCCCCACCAGCCCCACGATACCCCACTCTGCTCCCCCGCCTCCCTCCCGCCCCCACCAGCCCCACGTTACCCCCCCTCTGCTCCCCTGCCTCCTACCGCCCCCACCACCCCCATGTTACCCCCCCGCCCCTTGTTCCCCCACCTCCTCCCACCCCCACGTAACCCCCCTCTGCTCCCCCGCCTCCTCCCGCCCCCACCAGCCCCACATTACCCCCGCCCCTTGTTCCCCCACCTCCTCCCGCCCCCACCAGTCCCACGTAACCCCCCTGCTCCCCCACCTCCTCCCACCCCCACCAACCCCACGTAACCCCCCCTCCCCTTGTTCCCCCACCTCTTCCCGGCATGCCCTGCACCCCCAGCCACAAGTAACCCTGTGACGAAGTGGGACTGTTCTTAATGTTTCCTCTGAATAGTGGGGGGGTGCCTCAGTTTCCCCTAGGCAGTTCTTAAGTCTCTAGGGGGTGGAGTAAGGGTGTATGATCATTGCAGAGCCCTAGAGGGCAGGTGTGTGCAGGGGTCTGGACACAGAGAATGGCCGACACCCTGTTTCCTGGAAACTGATGGCCTGGCCCTTCCCCCCTGCAAGGTGAGAGCTAAAGGGCTGGAGAACAAAGGGATCCGGTGACCTCCTGGCCCAGGAAAGGGACAAAGCCCAGAGCAGGGGGGGGCTGGAGGGAGTTTCAGTTTGGGGCTGGCTGGGGACAAGGAGTGAAGGGCAGACGGGGTGTCTGGCTCACTGCCCCCCAGAATGGACCCAGCTGAGGGGTCCCGTTCTCTGCACCTACAAGCTCTGTGTTAGACCATGTTCCTGTCGTCTAATAAACCTTCTGTTTCCCCGGCTGGCTGAGAGTCCCGTCTGACTGCGGAGTTGGGGGGCAGGACCCTCCGGCTTCCCCAGGACCCCGCCTGGGCGGACTGGCTGTGGGAAGCGCCCGGAGGGGCAGAGGAGGCTGGAGGCTCCGGGGTCAGACCCAGGAAGGTGGAGCCGGGGGAGCTGTGTGTCCTGCAGACAGGCTGCTCCCCGAGAGGAGACTCCCCCAGAGTCCTGCCCGGCTTCATGGGGAGCAGGTCAGAGCATCGCCCGGGGACCCCGTGACAAACCCCCAACCCCCTGCTCGCTCACCTCCTCCCATCCCTGCCGGCCCCCCTGTGTGCTGGGCTGGGGGTCCCGCGGGGAGCAGGGCCCTGGGGGTTGGGGGGCCCCGTGGGGGGCGGGGCACTGGGGGCTGGGGGGGGCCATGGGGGGCGGGGCCCTGGGGGCTGGGAGGGGCCGTGGGGGGCGGGGCACTGGGGGTTGGGGGGCCCCGTGGGGGGCGGGGCCCTGGGGGCTGGGGGGGGCCCATGGGGGCTCACCTTGAAGAGCTGCACCCCGATGCAGGCGAACATGAACTGCAGCAGTGTGGTCACGATCATGATGTTGCCAATGGTGCGAATGGCCACGAAGACGCACTGGACCACGTGCTGGGGGGGCAGGGGGGTGAGACCCCCAGACACACAGCGACCCCCCCAGCCCCCCTCAGACACACAGGCCTCTTGGTGCCCCCAGCACAGCACTCCGGGCCCTGCACTCAACTCCCCCCGAGCACTGCCCCCCCCAGCCCCCCGGCCCTGCACCCGCTCTCAGCTCTCTGCACTCAACTCCCCCCGAGCACTGCCCCCCCTCTCAGGCTCTGCCCCCCTGAGCACAGCCCCCCCAGCCCCCCGGCCCTGCCCCCCCTCTCAGGCTCTGCCCCCCCCCGAGCACTGCCGCCCCCAACCCCCCACCCAGCCATCTGAACACCCCCCCACACACCTTCAGCCCCTTGGCCCGGTTGATGGCTCGGAGAGGCCGCAGCACGCGCAGCACCCGCAAAATCTTCACCACGGAGATGGCGCTGGAGCTGGGGGGGGGGGTGTAGCAGGGGGGAGTGGGGGTCAGAGACATTGCAGCAAGTTCCCCAACTTCCCTGCCCGGCACCGCCTGCCCCCATTCATCACAACCCCCAGCATATCCCACCGCTTCCTTTTCTCACGCCTGGCGTATCCCACCGCTTCCACCAACCCTTCCTACTCCTGGCATATCCCACCTCATCCACCAATCCTCCTCACGCCCAGCATATCCCACAGCGCCCACCAATCCTTCCCACCCCTGAAGCATCCCACCGCGTCCAAGAATCCTTCCCACCCCCGGCGTATCCCACCGCGTCCACCAATCCTACCTTCGCCCGGTGTATCCCACCTCATCCACCAATCCTTCCTGCTCCTGGCGTATCCCACCTCATCCACCAATCCTTTCTATGCCAGCGTATCCCACTGTCCCCGCCAATCCTTCCCGCGCCCGAGCCATTTCCTGGGTCTGCCTTCCCCCCTTCCCTTCATCCCTCCAGCCCCATACAGCATTGTTCACCCCTGCACTCCTATTCCCCGCTCACCGCCCTTCCCCGCCCCACTCACTGGATCCCGAAGGAGATGAGGGAGACGCTCACAACCAGCAGATCCAGCAGGTTGAACCAGTTCCTGCAGAAGGAGCCTTTGTGGAGGAAGGCGCCGTAGGCTGTCATCTGAGGGGAGCGGGGGGAAGAGGGTCAATCCGGGCCTGTGCTGACCCCTGGGCCCCGTTCCCCTCCCTGAGCCGGGAGAGAACCCAGGAGTCCTGGCACCCGGCCCCGCCCCAGCAGTACCTTGAGCAGGATCTCCACGGTGAAGATGGAGGTGAAGGCATAGTCGAAGTACCCCAGAATCTGAGCAGGGATGGGGTGGGGAGACAAGGCCATGGGGGAGAGTCAACGGCCAATGTGGGGCAGCCCCCCCTGCCCTGCCCCTCCTGCCCCCCTGCCCTGTCCTGCCTGTCTGCCCCACCCCAGCGCCCTCCCCGCCTCCCCTGGGCTCCTCCTCGTCCACCCTGGCCAGGCCCCTGTCCCATCCAGCCCCCTTCCTCACCCCCCCCATGCCGCCCTGCCATCCATCTCCACCCAGACCCTTCCCCCGCCTGTGCCCCTCCCCCATCCAGCCCCCATGTCCCCACTCCTCCTCCTTCCCCCCCCCCATTAACCCCCCCCAGATGGGCGGGTGGGGGTCTCACGATGTTGCGGAAGGAGTGGGCCCGGATGGGGTCCTCGGCGGCCAGCGAGATGCTGCTGAGGATGATGAAAACGAGGATGAGGTTGGTGAAGATGTGGTGATGGATCACGGCGTGACACCCCACCCGGAGCCTGGGGCAGGGGAGAGATCGGGTCAGAGCCAGACCCACCTGAGATGTTCTCTCTGAATACTGTGGGGGTGCCTCAGTTTCCCCTAGGCATTTCGTAAGGCTCTAGGGGGTGGGATAAGGCGGGGGTGTGATTGTTGCAGAGCAAAGGGCCAGGGTCCATAAATGGCGACACTCTGTCTCCTGGCCACTGACGGCCTGGGCCCTTCCCCCCTGCCAGGTGAGAGCTAAAGGGCTGGAGAACAAAGGGATCCGGTGCCCTCCTGGCCCGGGAAAGGGACAAAGCCCAGAGCAGGGGGGGCTGGAGGGAGTTTCAGTTTGGGGCTGGCTGGGACATGGAGTGAAGGGCAGACGGGGTTGTCTGGCTCATTGCCCCCCAAAATGGACATGACTGAGGGGTCCGGTTCTCTGCACCTGGAAGCTCTGTGTTAGACCCTGTTCCTGTCGTCTAATAAACCTTCTGTTTCCCCGGCTGGCTGAGTCCCGTTTGGCTGCGGAGTTGGGGTGCAGGACCCTCTGGCCCCCCCAGGACCCCGCCTGAGCAGACTCGCTGTGGGAAGTGCCCGGAGGGGCAGAGGAGGCTGGAGGCTCCGGGGTCAGACCCAGGAAGGTGGAGCCGGGGGAGCTGTGTGTCCTGCAGACAGGCTGCTCCCCGAGAGGAGACTCCCCCAGAGCCCTGCCCGGCTTCGTGAGGAGCAGGTCAGAGCATCGCCCGGGGACCCCGTGACACCCACCCCCCTGAGCCAGCCGGTCCCCGCCCTGGGGCTGGGTGGGAGCGGCGCCCCCCAGAGGGGACAGGCCCCTGCCCCAAGCCCCGCCCCCCTGGAGGAGCCAGGCCCCGCCCCTCCCGGCACTCACGGGTTGGTGCTGCTGAGGATGAAGAAGGCGCTGCCGGCCGGGATGGGCAGGACTTTCTCCGTTGGCGCCTCCTCCAGCTTGTCCAGGTGGGACTCGGCCAAGCTCTCCTGGTCGCCCTCCTCGGCCTCCTCCCCTGCGGGGCAGACGGACGGCGGGGGGATGACAGCGACAGGGCCCCGCCGGGCTCAGCCAGCCCTTCCCCGAGCAGAGAACCCAGGCGTCCTGGCTCCCGGCCCCCGCTCCTGCTCTAACCCACCAGACCCCACTCCCCTCTCAGAGCCAGGCAGAGAACCCAGGAGCCCTGGCGACCAGCCCCCCCCCATGCTCTAACCACTAGACCCCACTCCCCTCCCAGAGTCGGGGAGAGAACCCAGGAGTCCGGGTTCCTATTCATCATGATAGGATCAAAAAATACAGTAGGGTCACATCTGGCAGCCACAGATCCCCGAGAGGAGAGCGCTCCCTGCCCAGCCCCCCGCCTGCCCCACGGCGCCCCCCATCTGGGAGAGTCAGACCCACCCTTCCTACCTCCTTCTTCGCTCCCTTCTTCATCCTCCTCCTTCTCTTCCTCCATGCACGGCACCTGGGGACAGAGCAGCAGGAGGCCAGGTCTGTGTGTGTCCCTGCACCCCCTGCTGGAGGGGCTGAGTCCTGTGCTGGGGGGGTAACCAGACCTCCACCAGGGGATTTCAGCTCCCCTGCCCCTGGCATGAACCCTGGCATCTAGGCCAAACCCCATTGAGACCAAGAGGGAACTATTCATAAAGTTTTGGATGAATATTGTGCGTGCCTCAGTTTCCCCAGTGCACTGCCTGGTTAACCGGCGGTGGGGGGAAGGGTGTTTGCTCTTTGCAGAGACCCAGGCATGACCCACCCCCAGCTGCCTGGGGCCCGGCCCCCCATGCCACGGAGGAGCCCAGCCGACAACGGCTGTTTGCCACCTGGCACCGAAAGACCCCGGGGGCCGACCATCCGCAGGAAGCCAGCTGGGGGCGGGACCAAATGGGGGCTTTTCTGAACACGCTGCGCTGGGCATGCCTCAGTTTCCCCCGCATGCTGTGCGCTTAACAAGGCCGTGGGGGAGAGGGGTTGTTGTTATTGAGGGACAGGGTGTGACCCCACCGGGACCCCAGACTATGGTCAGTGGGGGGACAGAGGGTGGAAGAGAGGGTGCCCCGAGTAAGGACAGAGAAGGGGCTGTGAGGAGGGGATACGGGGGGGACTGGGCTGCCCCACACTGGGGGGAGCCACTTCTTACCTTCACACTGCCATCCTGGCTGCCGCTGCCCGGGGCTTCATCCGCCAGCTTCCCCCTGCGGGGTACAGGGGGGCTCAGAGCAGAGATAGGGAGAGAACCCAGGCATTCGGGCAGCCCCATCCCCGCTCTTACCCACCAGATCCCCTCCCCTCCCAGAGCCGTCCGGGCTCCCAGCCCCGTCCCTGCTCTAACCCACCAGATCCCCTCCCCTCCCAGAGCCGGGGAGAGAACCCAGGCGTCCGGGTGCCTCACTTTTTGCTCTCCTCCGCGGACGAGTTGATGTTGTCCCCATCGGCCAAATTGTCCACAGCAATGGCCAGGAAGACGTTCAGCAGGATATCTGGGGGGGGGCTCAGGAAAATAGGGGTGCAGGGGAACCCCTGCCTCAGCCCCACCCCAAATCCACTCACTCCCCCATGTCAGCCACCCCCCCACACGACACTGCCTGGCTCCAGGGCCCCCCACCCTCCTGCCACCAGCTTCTGATCCGCCCCTGCTGCCCCCCTACTCCACCCCTGTGACGAAGTGGGACTGTTCTTAATGTTTCCTCTGAATAGTGTGGGGGTGCCTCAGTTTCCCCTAGGCAGTTCTTAAGTATCTAGGGGGTGGGGTAAGGGTGTATGATCATTGCAGAGCCCTAGAGGGCATGTGTGTGCAGGAGTCTGGACACAGAGAATGGCCGACACCCTGTTTCCTGGCAACTGATGGCCTGGGCCCTTCCCCCCTGCAAGGTGAGAGCTGAAGGGTTGGAGAACAAAGGAATCAGGTGACCACGTGGCCCGGGAAAGGAACAAAGCCCAGAGGAGGAGGGGCTGGAGGGGTTTTCAGTTTGGGGCTGGCTGGGACATGGAGTGAAGTGCAGACGTGGTTGTCTGGCTCACTGCCCCCCAAAATGGACCCAGCTGAGGGGTCCCGTTCTCTGCACCTGCAAGCTCTGTTTTAGACCATGTTCCTGTCGTCTAATAAACCTTCTGTTTTACTGGCTGGCTGAGAGTCACGTCTGACTGCGAAGTTGGGGTGCAGGACCCTCTGGCTTCCCCAGGAGCCCCGCCTGAGCGGACTCGCTGTGGGAAGCGCACGGAGGGGCAGAGGATGCTGAATGCTCCGAGGTCAGACCCAGGAAGGTGGAAGCTGTGTGAGCTGCGTGTCCTGAAGACAGGCTGCTCACAGAAAGGCGACTGCCCCAGAGTCCTGACTGGCTTCATGGGGAGCAGTTCCAGAGCATCGCCCAGGGACTCCGTGACAACTGGTGGCAGCGGTGGGATGTACTGCACCCCGTGGATGGTGCTTCCTGCAGTAAGTGACTGGGGAGCAGTAACACGAAGGGGGATTGCCGAGGACCAGGCCTGCTGAAGGCTCAGAGAGGAGCGGTTTCGGGGGGCGGTTAACCCCTGGGAGTGTGTGACCAGCGAGAAGGACTGTGCAGTAACAGGGTTCCCCTGGGGATTGCAGCGAGCAGTCCAAGGGGCGGAGGAGTCTGCAGCTCGACCCTGGCAAAGAGGTGGTGACCTCGAGAAGGGCTGACACACTAGGGGTTCTCCCTGGAAACCGTGGGGAGCTGAGAACACACGGGCCTGTGAGTCCACAACAACTTGGGAGGAGCGGAGTGACGGCCTGTCACCGTCTCCTTAAGAAGGACAGTGTAACCCTGTGCAGAAAGAGAGGGTTGAGCATTGGAAAGTTCACCAAAGCAGAGTTAATCGTGCAGCTGGAGGAGGATGACCGCTCTAAGGAACAGATTCCTGACCCCAACTGGGGCTATATCAGGATCTGGGAGCAGCTGGAGCGGGAGCCAGGCATCGCCAAGACTCCTGTCCCCGACCAGACGAGGGTCTTCACGATCGGGTTCCCCATCGGGGGATCGAGACGGACGGGATTGGAGCTGAGTCTGAGAGAGCAAGAGGACCCTGGGAGACAGCGAGAGCCCGAGAAAGAGCTGCAGAAGCAGCAGCAGCATGAACTGGCGGTGGGGGAGCGGAGAGGCCTAGGGGACCTCCCCGGGGTGAGTGGGGATAGATCCCGGGGGGCAGTTCCACAGGGAACCTCGAGACTAAATTGCTGCCCCTGGTTAAGGAGGGGGGTGTGTGGATGCCCACCTCACTGCCTTTGAGCAGGCTGGAGATTTGAACCAAGGGGACCCTGCGGAAAAGCCCCGGTGTCTAGCTCCCTTGCTGGGTCCCAAGGCCATAGACTCCGTCAGCCAGATGGTTGGGGATGTGGACAGGCTCCCACTCCTGACCCCAACCTGTATGTCTGTGTGGAGTTTCCTGGGGCCAGGCCCCTCGGACCTCCAGTGGGAGCAGAAGGTGATGGTCAATGGGGAGACATTCTTGGGGTGGCCAAAGGGCATGGGCTGCATAAACCTTCCCACATGCGGCCTGCGAGTGCTATCGACCACCCCTGACCTAAGGGAGGGCGTGAAACTGGAAGGGCCTGGTGTAACTCCTACCAAGGAATGGGAGAGATGCTGGGGCATCCATGGGAACGTTGGTGGCTTCGAACTTCCCCAGGTCACCGGCTAAAGTGACCCCGCTCAGTTCGATCTCGAAGGGGGGAGAGATGTGACGAAGTGGGACTGTTCTTAATGTTTCCTCTGAATAGTGTGGGGGTGCCTCAGTTTCCCCTAGGCAGTTCTTAAGTATCTAGGGGGTGGGGTAAGGGTGTATGATCATTGCAGAGCCCTAGAGGGCAGGTGTGTGCAGGAGTCTGGACACAGAGAATGGCCGACACCCTGTTTCCTGGCACCTGATGGCCTGGGCCCTTCCCCCCTGCAAGGTGAGAGCTGAAGGGTTGGAGAACAAAGGAATCAGGTGACCACCTGGCCCGGGAAAGGAACAAAGCCCAGAGGAGGAGGGGCTGGAGGGGTTTTCAGTTTGGGGCTGGCTGGGGACATGGAGTGAAGTGCAGACGTGGTTGTCTGGCTCACTGCCCCCCAAAATGGACCCAGCTGAGGGGTCCCGTTCTCTGCACCTGCAAGCTCTGTGTTAGACCATGTTCCTGTCGTCTAATAAACCTTCTGTTTTACTGGCTGGCTGAGAGTCACGTCTGACTGCGAAGTTGGGGGGCAGGACCCTCTGGCTTCCCCAGGACCCCGCCTGGGCGGACTCGCTGTGGGAAGCGCACGGAGGGGCAGAGGAGGCTGAATGCTCCGAGGTCAGACCCAGGAAGGTGGAAGCCGGGTGAGCTGTGTGTCCTGAAGACAGGCTGCTCACAGAAAGGCGACTGCCCCAGAGTCCTGACTGGCTTCATGGGGAGCAGTTCCAGAGCATCGCCCAGGGACTCCGTGACAACCCCCCAGCTCGAGATCTGCCCCACTACTCCCCAGCTGCCTGTCAACTCTCCCCTCCCCCCCACAGCCATTGCCCCAGCCCCCTGTAGCCCCCCGGCCCCCCAGCAAAGCGGGTACAGTTGCCACAAATGAAGAGGATGATGAAGTAGACACAGACCAGCATGCCGGGGAAGTAGGGACCCCCGTAGGCCATGATCCCGTCGTACATCACCGCGTTCCAGTCCTCGCCCGTCAGGATCTGGGGGGGCCGGGCAGCCGTCAGTGGGGGGCAGGGGGCTGGCGCGTGCCCCGGAGGGGGAGAGGGGGTTCCCAGGGGTTTCTGGGGGATGGGGGGGACCTGGAAGTCAGTGAGCAGGGTTTGGGGGAAGGTGTCTAAATTGGGGGTCCCAGGGCAGCTGGGAGGGATTCAGGGGGGCACCTGGAAGACGGTGAGCAGGGCCTTGGGGAAGGTGTCGAACGAGGGGGCCCCGGGGGGTACCTGGAAGATGGTGAGCAGGGCCTGGGGGAAGGTGTCGAATGTGGGGGGACCCGGGGGGTACCTGGAACACAGTGAGCAGGGCCTGGGGGAAGGTGTCTAATGTGGGGGTCCCGGGCTGGAAGACGGTGAGCAGGGCCTGGGGAAAGGTGTCAAACGAGGGGGGCCCCGGGGTGTACCTGGAAGACTGTGAGCAGGGCCTGGGGGAAGGTGTCGAACGTGGGGGGCCCCGGGGGGCCCGGGGTGTACCCGGAAGACGGTGAGCAGGGCCTGGGGGAAGGTGTCGAACGTGGGGGGCCCCGGGGGGGCCCGGGGGGTACCCGGAAGACAGTGAGCAGGGCCTGGGGGAAGGTGTCGAACGTGGGGGGCCCCGGGGGGTACCTGGAAGACGGTGAGCAGGGCCTGGGGGAAGGTGTCGAATGTGGGGGGCTCCGGGGGGCACCTGGAAGACGGTGAGCAGGGCCTGGGGGAAGGTGTCGAACGTGGGGGGCTCTGGGGGGCCCCGGGGGGTACCTGGAAGACGGCGAGCAGGGCCTGGGGGAAGGTGTCGAACGTGGGGGGCCCCGGGGGGCACCTGGAAGACGGTGAGCAGGGCCTGGGGGAAGGTGTCGAACGTGGGGGGCCCCGGGGGGTACCTGGAAGACGGTGAGCAGGGCCTGGGGGAAGGTGTCGAACGTGGGGGGGCCCGGGGGGTACCTGGAAGACGGTGAGCAGGGCCTGGGGGAAGGTGTCGAACGTGGGGGCTCTGGGGGGCCCCGGGGGGTACCTGGAAGACGGCGAGCAGGGCCTGGGGGAAGGTGTCGAACGTGGGGGGCCCCGGGGGGCACCTGGAAGACGGTGAGCAGGGCCTGGGGGAAGGTGTCGAACGTGGGGGGCCCCGGGGGGCACCTGGAAGACGGTGAGCAGGGCCTGGGGGAAGGTGTCGAACGTGGGGGGCCCCGGGGGGTACCTGGAAGACGGTGAGCAGGGCCTGGGGGAAGGTGTCGAACGTGGGGGGCCCCGGGGGGTACCTGGAAGACGGTGAGCAGGGCCTGGGGGAAGGTGTCGAACGTGCTGCGTTTGGTCTGGGTCTCGTCGAAGTTGAACTTGCCCCCGAAGAGCTGCATGCCCAGCAGGGCGAAGATGATGATGAAGAGGAAGAGCAGCAGCAGCAGGGACGCGATGGATTTCATGGAGTTCAGCAGCGAGGCCACCAGGTTACTCAGGGACGCCCAGTGCCTGCGGGAGGGAAGAGGGGTGAGACGGGGTGACCCAGAGCCCAAACACGGCCCCCTCCCCACGCCCGGCCCAGCCCCATGCCCAGCCCAGCCCCACGCGACGCCCCGTGCCTGTGGGGGGGGAAGCTGTGCAGATCTTCCTCCGCATTGAGGGAGGGGGCGGATTTCAGGAGCTTGCGCTGTACAGGTTTCTCTGCGGCGCGAGACGACAGTTCTGGGTGTGCACCAGAGGGGGGGCTGGGGTCCCCGAGCTGAGTCTTCCCACCCAGAGCTGATTTTTGCAGCCACACGTGTCCCTGTGTGCACTGGGCCTGGCACAGCAGGGCAGGGGGAGGGAGCCCAGGCTGGGGGGCCGGGGGGCAGGGAGGGACTCCAGGACCTCAGATGGGGGGCCAACCTGGTACATCAAACCCGACCCAGCCCCACACCCTGCCCCCCATGCCCAATCTCTGCCCCCTTGTAACCCCCCAGCGCCTGGGGGTGGGCGGTGAGGATCAACACCCAGTGCCCAGCCCCACGCGCGGCGCCCAACACCCAGCCCCACGCCAGGTCCCCCAGAACCCCACGCCCAGCCCCCAGCCCCACTTCCAGCGCTCGACACCCAGCCCCACGCCCGGCCCCCCGGAGCCCCACGCCAGGTCCCCCAGAGCCCCACGCCCGGCCCCCAGCCCCACACCCGGCCCCGACACCCAGCCCCATGCCCGGCCCCCCGGGCCCCTAGCCCCATGCGCGGCCCCCCGGGCCCCTAGCCCCACGCCAGGTCCCCCAGAGCCCCACGCCCGGCCCCCAGCCCCACACCCAGCCCCCAGCCCCACGCCCAGCCCTGACACCCAGCCCCATGCCAGATCCCCCGTAGCCCCACTCCCGTCCCCCAGCCCCGCCGGACCTGGTGACTTTGAAGATGCGCAGCAAGCGGACGCAGCGGAGCACGGAGATGCCGAGCGGCTCCATGACCCGCAGCTCCACCAGCAGGGTCTCCAGGATGCCCCCGCACACCACGAAGCAGTCGAAGCGGTTGAAGAAGCTGGCGAAATAGGCCGGCAGGCCCAGGCTGTACAGCTTCAGCAGCATCTCCAGCGTGAAGAGCGACAGCAGCCCCTTGTTGGCGTAGGCTGGGGGGAGACAGGGCGTCACGCCGGGGGCAGACGTCCGGGGGCAGGAGGGGCCGGCACGGGGCAGTGACTCGACCCGGGGTTGCCGGGTTAGCAGGGTCGAGGATTAGCACAAGCTGGGGGGGCTCTCGCCGAGGGCGATTACAGGGATCCGGGCGTGTTCTCTATTCGACACGGAGCCGGGATTACCCAGGAGCGGGATTCGGGTAATCTGGGGGGGATCTCGCCAGGGGACATTGGGTCTGTTCTCTAGGACAGGGGCTATTCGACACAGAGCCGAGATTACTGACGAGCGGGATTTGGATAATCTCGGGGGCTCTCGCCGGGGGACATTGGGCATGTTCTCTGGGCCAGGGGCTATTAGACACAGAGCCCGGGATTATAGAGGAGCGGGATTTGGGTAATCCCAGAGGTTACCACAGGGAGGGATTATGATTAGGACCGGGATTGGGAATACCTGCACTCAGGATTATATAGTAGGGGGACAAGGGCTACCTAGACAGGGGATTTGGAAAATCTCGCACTGAGATTATCTCCCGGGGGGTCCGGGACTACGTGGAAGTGGGATTCTATGGGCCAGGAGATTAGGAGGCTGCAGGGCTGGATGAATGAGGAAGGGATTAGGGTGGAGGGAGGCCAGGACGATTGAGGGCAGAGACGGTCGCATGGGAACAAAGCGTTTAGGATTTCCCGGGCCTGATGCTTGGGATTGGGGGGGATTCGGCTGGGCGGCGCAGAGGCAGAGACAAACTCTCTCGGCTGATGGAGACCGGTCGGGATTAGGGTCAGCTGGCGGGGAGATGGGGGAAATGGAGGATCCCCGAGGCCTGGCGAGATACTGGACGGAGGGCTCACCGCCTGGGGCTCACAGACACAGTTTAGGGGTGTCCGGCACAGATTGGGGCTGGGACCTGTCTGGGTTTGGCGTTAAGAGCGACGAGAGTTTCGTCCGGGATCCGGCCCCACTGGGACTGGGCTTTCTCGTCCTTAGGGGCAGCTTGGCTGGGTTACTGCAGACCCCAGGCAGGGGAAACTGGGTCGGGAATATCACAAATCGGGATTGGGGCTGAGGACACTGGAGACCGGGATACTCTGGGACCGGGACGGGGCCTTAGGTTTGTTCGGGAAAGCGACCCGCCGCAGCTATAATAAACTCCCGCCCAGAGCCGGGAGAGAACCCAGGAGTCCTGGCTCCCAGCCCCCCGCGCTCTGACCCACCGGTGCCCAGCGCCCCGCCCCGGGCTGGGGAGGGACCCAGGCACCCGGCCCTGGGCTCACCCTGGATCTGGGTCAGCCAGTCCGGCTGGCTGTAGTGCTCGGAGGCGATGGTCAGCGTGTTGAGGAAGACGAGGATCAGGACCGTCCAGTAGAAGGAGACGGATTTCACCGCCAGGCGGCATCTCTTCCGCAGCAGCCGCTTCGTGCGCCGGCAGCGGCGGCTGGGGATCCGAGTGGGGGGCGGGTCGGTGGGGCTGAGCCCCACAGAGACCCCCCCCGGGCCGGGAGAGCGCCCCCTGCAGGGGCCCACAGAGACCCGCCCCGGGCCGGGACAGCGCCCCCTGCAGGGGCCCACAGAGACCCCCCTCCGTGGGCCGGGACAGCGCCCCCTGCAGGGGCCCACAGAGACCCCCCCCGGGCCGGGAGAGCGCCCCCTGCAGGGGCCCACAGAGACCCCCCCCGGGCCGGGACAGCGCCCCCTGCAGGGGCCCACAGAGACCCCCCCCACCAGCCAGGACAGCGCCCCCTGCAGGGGCCCACAGAGACCCCCCTCCGTGGGCTGGGACAGCGCCCCCTGCTGAGCCCCACAGAGACCCCCCTCCGTGGGCTGGGACAGCGCCCCCTGCAGGGGCCCACAGAGACCCGCCCCGGGCCGGGACAGCGCCCCCTGCTGAGCTCCACAGAGACCCCCCTCCGTGGGCCGGGACAGCGCCCCCTGCAGGGTCCCACAGAGACCCCCCCGTGGGCCAGGACAGCGCCCCCTGCAGGGGCCTACAGAGACCACCCCCCCGTGGGCCGGGACAGCGCCCCCTGCAGGGGCCCACAGAGACACCCCCCGGGCCGGGACAGCGCCCCCTGCAGGGGATCAGCGGGGCTGGGCCCCACAGACACCCCCTCACTGCGGGGCTGAGACGCCCCCTCCTTCACTCCCACTCACCAGAATTTTGTCTTTGAGATTTTGCCTCTGGAGAAAGCGAAGAGAAAAGAAACGAAAAGTCAAATGCAGCCACCTCTGGGGTGGGACCTGGGGCCTGTTTATGCCCCCCAGACCCCCGCAGCACGGGCCCTTCCACCCAGCACTCACAGATACACGGCGCAGCAGGCGGTGTGATGCTCCTCTTCGCCCACGTTCTCGGTGTTGATGGAAGTCGTTTCACTCGCGGGGAGACTGGCTGGGGGAGAGATGGACGGGTGAGCTCCCCCCTCAGCGCCCCCACGGCTGGCTGGGTGGCTCTGGATTGACCTGGGGGCTTGAGATCAGAATCCAGACCTGCCCCCATTACAATCAGAAGTGACTCTGGATTGACCCCATGGGACCTGAGATCAGAATTGGCCCTGGCCCTGTTGCAATCAGGGGTGATTCTGGTTTGACCCCGGGTGTGAGGCAGCAGGGAGGGGGGAGTGTGAATGTGGCAGGGGGGTTTCAATGGGAGACCTGAGAGCCTGTCACCTGAGCCAGGAGGGGGAGAGGAGGTGACACCTCTGCCCGGGGAACTGGACACAGGCTGCAGGAGGGAGCCGGCTGGGGGGGGGTTGGGTTCAGTTTGGGGCTGGGTGGAGGAACGCAGGGAACCCCAGGACTGGGGTCTAAGCTCCCTGCCCCCCAGAAGGACTTGACTGAGGGGTCCTAGGTGTACCCACAACCTCTGTTTTGGACTGTGTTCCTGTTGTCCAATAAACCTTCTGTTTTACTGGCTGGCTGAGAGTCTCAGTGAATCCCAGGAAGAGGGGTGCAGGACCTGGACTCCCCCACACTCCGTGACACCGGGGAAGCTGAGATCAGAATTCAGCCCTCCCCTCATTGCAATTAGGAGTGACTCTGGATTGATCCCATGGGACCTGAGATCAGAACCTGGCCCTGGCCCCATTTCAATCAGGGGGATTGTGGTTTGACCCCAGGGGAGCTGAGATCAGAATCCAGCCCTGGCTCCATTGCAATCAGGAGTGACTCCGGATTGACCCCGGGGGAGCTGAGATCAGAATCCGGCCCTGGCTCCATTGCAATCAGGAGTGACTCCGGATTGACCCCGGGGGAGCTGAGATCAGAATCCAGCCCTGCCCCCATTGCAATCAGGAGTGACTCCGGATTGACCCCGGGGAGCTGAGATCAGAATCCGGCCCTGGCTCCATTGCAATCAGGAGTGACTCCGGATTGACCCCTGGGAACTGAGATCAGAATCCGGCCCTGACTCCACTGCAGACCCCAGCGGGGGAGCTGGGAAGAGGATGTTAATGAGCAGCCAGAGGCAGAGGGGCAGGTGGAGACGTGAAGCCCACCCGGCGATGACACACAGGCACAGACAGACAGACGGACGGAGACGGAGGTGCCACATTACTGTGGGTGTCGGTGGAATGGCCTGAGTGACGGAGCCACCGGAGTCGGCCTTTCTTCTTCTCCGCCAGGTCTTCCACGGTCACACCTTCCTCAGGGAGAGACAGACGGACGGAGGGATGGGGCGCGTGGGGAGGGATGGACAGACGGACGGAGGGATGGAGCGTGTGGGGAGGGATGGAGGGATGGACAGACGGACGGAGGGATGGGGCATGTGAGGATGGGTGGACGGATGGAGGGATGGGGCATGTGGGGAGGGATGGAGGAATGGACAGACGGACAGAGGGATGGGGCATGTGAGGATGGGTGGACGGATGGAGGGATGGGGCATGTGGGGAGGGATGGAGGAATGGACAGACGGACAGAGGGATGGGGCGTGTGGGGATGGGTGGATGGATGGAGGGATGGGGCGTGTGGGGATGGATGGACGGATGGAGGGATGGGGCGTGTGGGGATGGGTGGACAGACGGATGGAGGGATGGGGCGTGTGGGGAGGGATGGACAGACGGATGGAGGGATGGGGCGTGTGGGGAGGGATGGACAGACGGATGGAGGGATGGGGTGTGTGGGGATGGGTGGACGGACAGGAGGACGTGTGGGGGTGGGGAATGAGAGACAAGACACACAGACGTGAGTGCTGTGACAAAGAAGGGATGTGACACCCCCCCCCCCCAGGCATCATGGGTTTTGGCAGGACCCAGGGACTGATCCACCCAACCCCCCGATACAGCTCCCCACGCTGTACAAGAGGGACCCCAGCAGTTAGGGCTGGGAACCAGGACACCTGGGTTCTCTCCCCGGCTCTGGCGGGGGGGTGTATAATTGACCCCAGCATCCCTGACCCAGTGAGACTAACGAGGCCCCAGCGAGCAATTAACTCAGCGTAGCCGGGGCGGGGGAGCCCCGCTGGAGGCAGGGACTCGCCCGGGCTGCCCCTGTGGGAAGGGCACCTGGTGCCACACAGCTGCTAATTGCCCCCCCGGGGCACTGCTGGGGGGAAGATTACAACTCTGCAATGTCCCCAGCCCCCGCCCTGCTCTGCTGAGAGAAACCAGGCTCTGCTCCTGCCCCCTCCCCGATCTCTTCCCCGCCGGCCCCCCCCTCCCACTGCCAGGATCCCGCCCGACCCCCTCCCCAGCTGGTAATTTACTCAGGTGCCCACTAATCTCCTGGCCTGGAAGTCTCATTTCTCTGCCTGCTAATCCCCGGCCCGCAGCTGCCCCCAACACAGCTGGCGGTAACTTGCCCCCCCCCGGCCGGGGGGCAGAATCTGCTGCCCCAGACACCCAGGCCTGGGCTAGCGGGTCGGAGGGGGACTGGCTGCCCTGTGGGGGGCGGCAGGTCGGGAGTGAGGGGCGCTGTAGGGCAGGGGTCTCACGGGAGTGCTTGTCCTCCGGGTCCCCCTCCTCGTCGTCGGGGTCGATGTCCTCGGCCTGTGTGATCCAGTCCAGGTAGCCCCTGAGATCCTCCTCCATCTGCTGCTTCTCCCGCAGCTTCTGGAAGTCGCCCCGCGCTTTGGCCTTCTCCCGCTCCTTGGAGAACTCCCTGCGGGCAGCGAGGGGTTAACCCCCCGGCACACGCAGCAACACGCTAAGCACACGCTGGGCGAACACGGGAAGCACATGCGGGATCCAGCTGCCCCTGCTTTGAGCTGCGCCTCACCGGTGTGATCCACCCACACGCCTCAACATGCCAGTGACACACAGCGCCTGGCGGCACGGCCTGCCGCATGTCTATGATCCGTCCACGCAACTGACATGCCAAAGGCACACACAATCCAGCCGCACACACCCCAACGCACGGAGAACACGCTCCCCCCCATGCTTGTCGCCTGCCTCCCCCTGCACATGCCCCAACATGCTGATGTGACGAAGTGGGATCGTTCTTAATGTCTCCTCTGAATAGTGTGGGGGGTGCCTCAGTTTCCCCCAGGCAGTTCTTAAGTCTCTAGGGGGTGGGATGGGGGGGTATGGTCATTGCAGAGCCCTAGAGGGCAGGTGTGTGCAGGGGTCTGGACACAGACAGTGGCCGACACCCTGTTTCCTGGCCACTGATGGCCTGGGCCCTTCCCCCCTGCCAGGTGAGAGCTAAAGGGCTGGAGAACAAAGGGATCCGGTGACCTCCTGGCCCAGGAAAGGGACAAAGCCCAGGGGAGGAGGCGCTGGAGAGTGTTTCAGTTTGGGCTGGCTCCAAGCCACCTCCCATACAACAGCCCCATGTACTCCCTGAGCTCCTCCCCAGAGCTGGGCACATCCCCTTACGTGGCCTGCCCCCCTCTTACCCAGCTAGGCCCCGATGTGACGATGTGACTCAGCAGGGAGGGGGGAGTGTTGACCTGGGAATGTGCCCTGGGGATGGGAGACCTGAGAGCCTGTCACCTGAGCCAGGAGGGGGACGGGGAGGTAACACCTCTGCCCGGGAATGTGAACAGAGGCTGCAGCAGGGAACCTGCTGGGTGGGTTTAGTTGGCAGTTTGGGGCTGGGGAGAGGAACACAGGGAACCCCAGGGCTGGGGTCTAAGCTCCCTGCTCCCCCAAAAGGACGTGATTGAGGGGTCCTGGTTGTACCCACAAGCTCTGTTGTGGACTGTGGTCCTGTTGTCCAATAAACCTTCTGTTTTACTGGCTGGCTGAGAGTCTCAGTGGATCCCAGGAAGAGGGGTGCAGGGCCTGGACTCCCCCACACTCCGTGACACCCTCCTTACCTGGCCAGCCCCCCTCTTACCTGGCCAGGTCCCCCCTTACCCAGCAAGCCCCCACCTTACCCGGCCAGGTCCCTCCTTACCCAGCCAGCCCCCCCCCTTACTGGGCCAGGCCCCAGCCTTACCCGCTCAGCACCCCCAGCACAAGGTTGAGGACGAAGAAGGAGCCGAAGATGACCAGGCTGACGAAGTAAACCCAGGGCAGCTCGTGCCCCATAGCATCCTGCATCTGTGGGGGGGACAGGGGCCAGAGGGGGTGTGGTGTCAGGGGATGTGACGAAGTGGGAATGTTCTTTGTTTTCTCTGAATACTGTAAGGGTGCCTCAGTTTCCCCTAAGCATTTCGTAAGGCTCTAGGGGGTGGGATAAGGCAGGGGGTGTAATTGTTGCAGAGCAAAGGGCCAGGGTCCATAAATGGCGACACTCTGTCTCCTGGCACTGATGGCCTGGACCCTTCCCCCTGCCAGGTGAGAGCTAAAGGGTTGGAGAACAAAGGGATCCAGTGACCTCCTGGCCCGGGAAAGGAACAAAGCCCAGGGGAGGAGGGGCTGGAGAGAGTTTCAGTTTGGGCTGGCTGGGGACTTGGAGTGAAGGGCAGACGGGGAGTCTGGCTCACTGCCCCCCAAAATGGACCCAGCTGAGGGGTCCTGTTCTCTGCACCTACAAGCTCTGTGTTAGACCCTGTTCCTGTCGTCTAATAAACCTTCTGTTTCCCCGGCTGGCTGAGAGTCCCGTCTGACTGCGGAGTTGGGGGGCAGGACCCTCTGGCTTCCCCAGGACCCCGCCTGGGCGGACTGGCTGTGGGAAGCGCTCGGAGAGGCAGAGGAGGCTGGAGGCTCCGGGGTCAGACCCAGGAAGGGGGAAGCCGGGGGAGCTGTGTGTCCTGCAGACAGGCTGCTCCCCGAGAGGAGACTCCCCCAGAGTCTGGCCTGGCTTCGTAGGGAGCAGGTCAGAGCATCGCCCGGGGACCCCGGGACAGGGGGATCTCCAGGGGTTTGGGGAGCTGGGCCGGTTGGGGTGCAGGGGGATCCCTGTGGGTTTGGAGGGTCCCCCAGGGTGGGGGCTCACCCAGTAGAGCACGTCGGTCCAGCCCTCCATGGTGATGCACTGGAAGACGGTGAGCATGGCGAAGAAGAAGTTGTCGAAGTTGGTGATCCCGCCATTGGGCCCCTCCCAGCGGCCCCGGCACTCGGTGTTGTTGAGGGGACACTCCCGGCCGTGCCCCGAAAAGGCGCAGGGCGAGGGGTCCTCCTCGGCCTCCAGGTCTGGGGGAGGGACGGAGGGGTCAGGCGGGGCCCCGGGCAGGCTGGGGGGGGCTGCGGGCGGGGCGGGTACCTGAGCCGACGAGGAAGCAGGTCTTGTGCATGCGGCCGATGAAGAGCTCCAGGCCGATGATGGCGTAGATGATGATGACGAAGAGGACGAGCAGCGCGATGTGCAGCAGGGGCACCATGGCCTTCATGATGGAGTTGAGCACAATGTGCAGACCTGCGGGGGAGGGGTCAGGCTGGGGGCGTCAGGCCTGGGGGCGGCTCATGCAGTGCACCGCAGCAGAGGTGTGCAATGTGACAGCATGCAGTGCGATGCGCCACGGTGCAGTGCGACCTCACAGCTCGTGCAGTGCGATGCGCCACGGTGCAGTGCGACCTCACAGCTCGTGCAGTGTGACGCGCCACGGTGCAGTGCGACCTCACAGCTCGTGCAGTGCGACGCGCCACGGTGCAGTGCGACCTCACAGCTCATGCAGTGTGACGCGCCACGGTGCGGTGTGACCTCACAGAGCATGCAGTGTGATGTGCCACGGTGCAGTGCAACCTCACAGAGCATGCAGTGCGACGCGCCACGGTGCAGTGCGACCTTACAGCTCATGCAGTGCGACGCGCCACGGTGCAGTGCGACCTCACAGCTCATGCAGTGTGACGCGCCACGGTGCGGTGTGACCTCACAGAGCATGCAGTGTGATGTGCCACGGCGCAGTGCGACCTCACAGAGCATGCAGTGTGATATGCCATGGTGCAGTGCGACCTCACAGAGCGTGCAGTGCAACGCGCCATGGTGCAGTGCGACCTCACAACTCATGCAGTGTGACGCGCCACGGTGCAGTATGACCTCACAGCTCATGCAGTGTGACGCGCCACGGTGCGGTGTGACCTCACAGAGCATGCAGTGTGATGTGCCACAGTGCAGTGCAACCTCACAGAGCGTGCAGTGTGATATGCCATGGTGCAGTGCGACCTCACAGAGCATGCAGTGCGACGCGCCACGGTGCAGTGCGACCTCACAGCTCATGCAGTGTGACGTGCCACGGTGCAGTGCGACCTCACAGAGCATGCAGTGCGACGTGCCATGGTGCAGTGCGACCTCACAGAGCATGCAGTGTGATATGCCACGGTGCAGTGCGACCTCATAAGAATACAGTGAAATGCAACACTGCAGCAAAATGGGTTGCAGTGTAATAGAGCAGGGTGCAAAGAAATGGCTTGCAGTGCAGTGCGCCCTGGGGCAGGGTGACCTCGTACAGCATGCAGGGCAACGAATCACTACACAATGACACTACACTCAGTGAAACTCACCGTTGTGCAGTGTCACACCATGCAGGATACAGTGCAGTGCACCACTGCGCAGTGAGACAACACGCACTGCGACTCGCCGATGTGCAGGGTCACACCCTGCAGCGTGGAGTGCATTGCATTTCCGTCCAATGAGAGTACACAATGCATAACTGTGCAGTGTAACATCATATTGTGCACAGGGCAATGCACCACTGTGCAGTGAGGCAGTGTGCTGGGACGTCATACATCTCAACACAACTCCCGCAATGCAGCACACAGCAACCCCCCCCAGTGCCTGGCCCCCAGGGCTGGCATTTGCCGGCGGGCCCTCGGTCCTTACTGGGGACGCCGGAGACGAGGCGCAAGGGGCGGAGCACGCGGAAGGCCCTCAGGGCTTTGACGTCGAAGCCCCCCGGTTTGCCGCTCATGTGGTGGGCGTCCCCGGGCTTGTGGGACGCTTGCTCCAAGATCACGCTGAACAACCTGCGGGAGAGCGGGCAGGTGAGGGGGGCACCCGGGGGGATGGAGCCCTCTAGGGGGCACCAGCCCTCACCCAGCCCTGTCCCTGTGGGGAGGGGGAGCCCAGCAGGGTGGCAGGGGCCCAGCAGGGTGGCGGGAGGCCTGGGGGGGTCCTGGCGGGGCATTGGACAGCCCGGTGGGGCGGTGGTGACCCAGCAGGGCAGGGGGCGGAGGTGGGGGGCCTGGCTAGGGCCCAGCAGGGTGGTGGGCCCAGCGGGGTGTTGGGGGCCGTAGGGGGAGCCCAGTCGGAGGCGGCAGTGACCCAGCAGGGCGCGGGGGGGCGGCGGGGGACGCACCCCACCACCACGATGACGAAGTCCAGCAGGTTCCAGCCATTGCGGATATAGGCACTGGGGTGCAGAACCAGCCCGTACGCGATGATCTTCAGGAACGTCTCCACCGTGAAGATGATGAGGAAGACGTACTCCACCTGCTCCTGTTGGGGGGGGAGACGGGAATTGAACCCAGGTGTCCGGGCACCACCAACCCCCACCCCCGTGAGCCACAGACACCCAAACGGCCCCCTGCATCCTAGAGAATGAACCAAAGTGTCCTGGGGGCCCTTCCTGCTGGGAAACAGACCCAGGTGTCCGGGAGTGGGGGGGGTCATCCCTGGAAGAAAGGAACCCTGGCGTCCGGGCAGGCCCCAAGCAGCGGGGGGAGCGGGTGGACAATCCTGTGCAGAAGAGCGAACGTGCAAGATAGTCCCGGCTTAGCGCCAACAGGTCCCCCCGGCCCCCCCGCCTGGTAAGCGGCTTAGAGCTCATGGCCCGGGGCACAGAGAGACAGAGAACCCAGGCGTCCTGGCTCCCAGCCCCCCCCCAACCAGCAGACCCCACTCCCCTGCCAGGGCTGGTGAGAGAACCCAGGAGTCCCCCCCGTCCCCCCCCCCGGCAGCTAATTCCTTCCCACTCCTCCATGACTTCTGCCCAGGGACCCAGCAGCTCGTTAAGGACAGTCATTAGCTCCGAGCTCTTAATGAGGCTAAACCCAGGGTCTGGGTGACGGGCCAGGGGAGCCAGCCCAAGAGGCTCACAGGGCCTGCCATGGGGCTGGGAGCCCGGACGCCTGGGTTCTCTCCCAGCTCTGGGAGGAGCAGGGTTGCTGGGCCGGACGCCGGGGTTCGCTCCCGGCTCTGGGGGGGAGCGGGGTTGCTGGGCCGGACGCCGGGGTTTGCTCCCGGCTCTGGTGGGGAGCGGGGTTGCTGGGCCGGACGCCGGGGTTCGCTCCCGGCTCTGTGGGGGAGCCGGGTTGCTGGGCCGGACGCCGGGGTTCGCTCCCGGCTCTGGGGGGGAGCCAGGTTGCTGGGCCGGACGCCGGGGTTCGCTCCCGGCTCTGGGGGGGAGCCGGGTTGCTGGGCCGGACGCCGGGGTTCGCGGGGGCTCACCAGGTCGTGGTTGGCGGTGTTGGAGTCGTCCTCGGGGAAGGGGATGTAGACCCCCAGGGCCACGCAGTTGGCGAAGATGGTCATGAGGATGAGGATGTCGAAGGGCCTGGGGCGGGGGACGGGTTAAGGAGCTGAACGGGGGTGCTCCTGCCCCTTCCCCCAGTGCCCCCCCACATGCCCCCCTTTCTCCCCTGGCCCCCCCTTTAGCACAGTCCCTTCCCCCCACCCCCTCCCCTGGCCCCCCAGCCCCCCTGGCAGGGCAGATGCTTCCACTCGACGATGCTGATGGCAGCCTGGCGCAGGGGGTGGTTGAGCCGGAGGCAGAAGAGGGCCCGGGGGGAGCGCGGCACCGTGGGGCTGCCCTGAGTCTTGTGCTTGGCGGGGGGCAAGCGCCGGCGGGGGGTGGGTGGGGGGCTGCCAGCCTCGGTCCCCAGTCCCCCGGCCTCCACCCCCCACCCCGGGCTGTCGGGGGGGACGACCGCTGCGGGGGAGAGAGGAGAGGGGTCAGAGTGCGCCCCCCACTGAGCCCCCCTCCCTCTGTGGTGACCCCCCCGCTGAGCTCCCTCCCCCCACAGAGACCCCTGCCCCCTCCCGCCTCTGTGGAGATCCCAGCCCCTTCCCAGGGCCCCATGCCCTGCCCCATGAGGCCCCCCTGCCTCCTCCATGCCACCCTGCCCTTCCACTCCCCCATGCCCCACAGCTCCCCAACTCCTCCATCAACCCCCCCTAGTGCTGGGCACTGGGGGGGGGTCAGTGCATGTGCCCCCCATGGAGCCCCCCCAGCCCTCTGCCTCCTCCTCCGGTCTCCCCCCATCAGGGTCACTTACCCCTCCCGTTCTCCTCCAACTCCAACATCCTGGGTTGGGGGGGGCACGAAGCAGGGTGGGGGGTTAACCTCTTTGCCCGGCTGACGCCCTACGGCAGAGGTGGGGGGCCTTGGGGAAAAGCCCCCCACACTCCTGGCAGCCTCTCGCCAGCCCCCCTCCTCTCATGGGGAGCCGGCCCAGGTGTGTGGGGGGGCGAGAGCTGGTGATAGGGTGCCCCCTGGGTGTTCCTTGTCCCTGTTTCCCCCCCCGGTGCCCCACAGGCCCTGCTCCCCCCAGGTGCCCTGCCACCCCCAGGGCCCCCCAGCAGTCCCCCGGTGTCCCCTTTCTCTCCCGCTCTTCCTCCGTCTCCGTCCCGTCGCTGTCCCTGGCTCGGCCGCGGATTAAGGGGGATTAGCTTCAGAGGCCTGCGTGGGCTAGTGGGGGGGACCATCCGGCCCCCCTGCCCCGGTGGTGTCGGGCACCGAGGGGGGTGGGCATCTGCTGGAGGGAGGGGGGAGTGGCAGGGAAAGCTGGGGGCAAAGGCAGCCTCCATGTGCCCCCCCAACTCCCCCTCACCGCTGATGCATTCTGGGAGCCCCCCAGGTCCCCCAACTCCCCCTCGCCCCGGTGCATTCTGGGAGCCCCCCAGGTCCCCCAACTCCCCCTCGCCCCGGTGCATTCTGGGAGCCCCCCAGGTCCCCCAACTCCCCCTCTCCCCGGTGCATTCTGGGAGCCTTAGAACCCTGCCCCCTCCCCTTTGCAGACTCCCCTTTGCCCTAGTGTTTGCCACCTTTCTACTTGCCCCAAACCGAACCCCCCAGCCCCGCCCCTGCCCCGAGGCCCCACCCCCTCGCTCCGTCACTCGCTGTCCCCCACCCTCACTCACTTTCCCCAGGCTGGGGCAGGGGGTTGGGGGGCAGAGCGGGGGGAGGGCTGGGGCTGGGGCCGAAGGGGTCGGGGTGCAGGCTCCAGGCGGCGCCGACCTCAGGGGGCTCCCAGAAGCGGCCAGCACGTCCGGCCTCCCTGGCAACCCTAGTTGCCCAATGGCATTCAGGGAATGTCAAGACCCCCACCCCCTGCCCCCCATCCCTGACCCTCTTCCTTGACTCTTGCTTGCCCCATTGCATTCTGGGAGCTCAGTGGCGACCCCCCCCCCACACTCCAGGATTCTTGCTAGCCCCAGTGCATTCTGGGAGCCTCTCTCCCCTCCCCCCCAAAGACCTGGTTCCATGGGAAGTTCTGGGACAAGTGGGGCGAAGCCCCCCCCACCCCAGCCCCCTTCTCTCCATTAATGGGGGAGCCACTGAGCCTGGGAACACCCAGGAGTGGGAGCGAGGCCGAGAGTTGAAAGCTGGGGACCTGAAGGGGAATGTGGGGGCGGGGGGTTGCTCCAGCTGATGCCGAGAGTTCACCCCACAGGGCCTCGCCGGCTACAGCCAGGGGGAAGACGGGGGTGGCGAAGGCCCTGGGTCGGCTTCCCTGCATCTCCGCCGGACCCGGGCTTTTCAGCGCCCCCCTTTCCCCTGGGACCCAGAAGATGCAGGGCCAGGGAGCCGCCCCCGAAGGAGCCGGGCGCAGGATGGGACGTCGGGGTGCTCTGGGGCCAGTCGCCCGGGGCCGCTCCCGCTTCCGAACCTCCTGCTCTGGGGGCGCCCGGAGAACCCGCACCCGGCACCAGCAGCCGCTCCGGGCCCGGGATTGGGGCCATGGTGGTAACTAGGACTACACGTCCCAGCATGCACCCGGTTAGGGAGGTTGGGGCTGGACTACAATTCCCAGCATGCCCCGGCTGGGGGCGGGGCTGGACTGCAATTCCCAGCATGCCCCGGCTGGGGGCTTGGACTACAATTCCCAGCATGCCCCGGCTGGGGGCGGGGCTGGACTGCAATTCCCAGCATGCCCCGGGCTGGGGGCGGGGCTGGACTGCAATTCCCAGCATGCCCCGGGCTGGGGGCGGGGCTGGACTGCAATTCCCAGCATGCCCCGGGCTGGGGGCGGGGCTGGACTACAATTCCCAGCATGCCCCGGCTGGGGGCGGGGCTGGACTACAATTCCCAGCGGTCCGTGCAGCGGGTCCTGTGACTCCGTGGCTCGCCGAAGCGCAAAGAGGGAGCCCGTGAGTGTGAACCAGCCCCCCCCGGAACCCCCCCGGCCCCTGTTCCCCGGGAGCTGCCCCTGCCCATCCCCCCTCACTTCTGTACCCCCAACTGTGCCCCCCACGTTCCTCTGCCCCACTTCCTGCGGGGGGGGGGGCTGGAGCCAGGTGTGCAGCGCGGGGGGGCGGCTGGAGCCAGGTGTGCAGCGGGGGGGGCTGGAGCCAGGTGTGCAGGGGGGGGGCTGGAGCCAGGTGTGCAGCGGGGGCGGCTGGAGCCAGGTGTGCAGCGCGGGGGGGCGGCTGGCTGCGGGGGCTGCTCGGCTCCGGCTGCAATGCCCCGCCCACTCTTTTCTCCCCCAGGGGTCGCTGCCTGGGGGCCCCTCGACCCCCACCATGGAAGAGGTCGACAAGATCCTCATCCACTCGCTCCGCCTCTCCGGAACGTAAGCCCCGCCCCCTGCGGGGGGCACCGTGCTGGGGGGCAGGGGGTCTCGCCAGGGGGCCCTCCCCGGGCAGTCGGGCCTGGGTGTCGGGGGGCAGGAAGCGGGGGCGGGGGCTCTGGTGGGGGGGGGGTCTCCCCTAGTGCTGGGTGCTAGGGGATGCCGGGGGGCAGGAAGCGGGGTCGGGGGGCTCTGCTGGGGGCTCTCCCCTGGCGCTGGGTGCTAGGGGATGCCGGGGGGCAGGAAGTGGGGTCAGGGGCTCAGTGGGGGGCTCTCCCCGGGCAGTCGGGGCTGGTCGAATTTCAGTGCTGGGCGAGCCGCCCCTCTGCGGTGTTATATGCAGCTGTTTCCTAGCGGCCGCCCCCCAGCGGTGGCTGCACCGTGGCACCGGGTCCCTGCCCACCTGGGGGCGCTGTCTGACGGCGGCTCCCCGGCGCCCCCCAGGCAGGTCCCCGAGGAGGTGCAGAGCCTGCGGGAGTTCACCACGGAGCTGATCGTGGAGTCGGTGGTGCGATGCCTCCGCGTCATTCACCCGTCGCTGGGCGCCAGCCTTGGCCACGTGCTGCCCCCCGGCATGTCGGCCCGGTTCCGCATCGGCACCAGCCTGGCCCAGGCCTGCCAGGTGAGAGAACCCAGGCATCCTGGGTCCCAGCTCCCGCTGCTCTAACCCCCCCCAGACCCCGCTTCCCTCCCCGAGCCGGGGAGAGAACCCAGGAGTCCTGACGCTCCCTCCCCCGCCAGGAGCTGGGCTACCAGGGCGAGGTCGGGTACCAGACTTTTCTGTACAGCAACGAGCCCGAGATCCGGCGCCTTCTGCTGTTCCTGGTGGAGAAGCTGCCCAGGGACGACGCTGAGGACGCCAGGCAGCCCGCCGGTACCTGGGGGGGGTGGGGGGGGCAGGGGAGGCTCGTGGGGCACGGGGAGGGGCCACACCGCCGGGTTGAAGGTGTGTCAGGGGGGCGGATCGGAGGGGGTGCTCGGGGGGGGGGGGAATCTGGGGATCGGGGGGGGCGCTGCTGCTGGCCATGACCTTTGCCCCCCTTGCAGGGAAGTCGGCCGGGTTACTCCGTGCCATTGCAGCGAAGATCAAGGAGCAGCTGGGGACGCCCTGGGTGCCCCCCGCGTGCCGCACCCCCCGGCTACAGCTGCTGCAGGTGGGTCCCTTCCCTCCGCGCCCCCGGTTCCGACCCACGTGTCCAGCCAGCGAGCCCTGTATCCACACCACAGCCACACGCAGCAGCCCAGCCCCACGGGCCCATCTACCCCGGCGTCCCGGCTGCAGCGTTTGCTTCGCTTCCCTCCCTCCCCAGCCGGTCCTCGGGGCTCCCCCCCGTAGACCCGGCTGGGTTGGGTCCCGTGGCCTGTGCCCACATCACGTCTCCCCTCACACCTACTAAATACACATCATTGTACTCGAGATTAATTAATTACATTCTCCTGTTTTATAACAGAATAAATATAATGCAGAATTTACTCGATACACAATGATCTGTAAACACTAAACATGACGTCCCGTATTGAATTTTATATATGGGACAATACTCGACGTTCTGTTTTACCTGTAGGTGTAACGTATTCCAGACCAGGTCCCGTTTATTTAATAAATGATGTGTTTTGTTGTAATTTGTGTGTTGTCGACTTCAACCTGGCATAGTCCAGTTTAACGCACGAAATACATCGATCGTATATTCAAATGAGAGTGGATCCTTCACCTCGTCCAGTCTTAACCAGCCTTCGGTAAACGAGCTCCGGAGTAAAT